AAATTCCGGCCAAGGGTGGTCAACCCAGCAAGTAAATGTTCGTGTATTTTTTCAAATTTAGAGCTACATTATCAGGAACGTTTTGGTCCGTGCCGGGATTGAGACAATCCCTGGAACATGGTTCTGCTCAGTTTGTCACAATATCATCCACCACAGATCTACTCGGCGAAAGGGACTACGTTGCTCGCCATTATCGGGGTCCACGTCATCTTCGTCGTCGTTTTTCCCCACAATCTCCGCCGCAGAGGCTAATCATCCAAGACGCTTAGTCCAGATGGAATCTCCATGGTGATGTTGAAGCAGCTTGATGGCCCAGAAGAAGAGTAGCTAACTAAAGTGTTTTTCCTCAAAATTTCGTTAGCCACCCTAATAGTTCCCGATGTCTGGAAAATGGACAGGGTGGTCCCGCTACTGAAGCCAGCCATGGATGCCAGCAAAGGTGAGGCATACCGGCCGATCTCACTTTTGTCGCCAGTAGCTAAGACCCTTCAGGCATTACTATTCCCTACTATTCGTGAATGCTATTTGATAGGCATTTAATACCGCCAGTCACGCCAAGCTGTTCGAGAACGTCGAGAGATCAACCTTCCAGCCAAGTTTGAAACGTTGGATCGTGAATTATATGTGTGGATGGTAGACGTACGTGGAATTCAGAAACAGGAAATCGAAGACCCGTAGAGTTAAACAGGCAGTTCCCCAAGGAGGGGCGATATCTCACGAACGGTTTAATTTCTACCTTTCTGGAATTCCACACCCACCGGACGACATAAAGATCGTAACATACGCGGATGATTGTACGTCAGGACCCAAATTTGATGACTTTTGCGAGAGGCTGAACCACCATCTCGTGGATATAGCTGAATTTTTCCGAGAGAGGAATATGGAAATATCCAGCATTAAATCAACGGTCACCTTGTTTACGACATGAGCAGCGGAGATGCGGCTACCTTTGAATGTATAGGTCGATGAGTCCACAATTCCGACCACCAATTACCACAAGGTTCCGCGAATGCCACAGCTATTTGCTATAAGATCAGAAGTAGGAACAAAGTTCTCAAGTCGCTAGCCGGCAGCACTTGGGGAAATCTTCAAACCTGAAAGAATGCTGCCCTGAGGACTGCAACAGGGTGTCTCCTCATGATTCCAATAGACCACATGCATGAGGAGACGAAGATCCTTCAGGTGCTTTAACACAACAAGATGTTGGGTGTTATAGAAGCAGCCATACAAATCATTGCCCACCACCTAAGCATGTCAGGAAGGATCTTCATGATCTGGAGAGAGAGAGAGAGAGAGGTGAAAAGGTACAAAAGGGAGCCTCTAGATCAACAGGCCTATATAGCAGGATTGAGTCGTATTCACACGGATGCAATAGAGGAAGCAATTCGAAAATATCGTGTGAATAGAATCCACGGCGATCACCCACCTACGATAGCAGCAAAAGAGCAGAAACTACCTCGACAAACCAGAGTGGTGAAGAAGATACCCCACTATACCACCTAGTCAAGATGATGTCAGAATAGCAATTAATCGGCCCAAGAACAATACAGCAGCAGGAGCCGATGGGTTACCAGCCGAACTATTCAAGACTGGAAGTCAGATGCTGGACAGAAGCATGCACCAGATGATTAATAGGATTTGGCTAGAGGAATGCATGCCCAATGATTGGAACCTCAGCATCCTGTGTCCCGTGCACAAAAAAGTAGACAAGACGATATGTATCAACTATAAAGGAATTAGTCTTCTTCCTATCGTATATAAAGTGCTATCCAGTGTGCTGTGTGAAAGATTGGAATCAATGGTCAATGACATTGAATCAATCAACCATTGACCAGATTTTACTCTGCGCCAAATCCTGGAAAAGATCCACGGATAACACATCGACACATTCCACCTATTCGTCGATTATAAAGCCGCAGCCCTATCCGTTCAGAGGTGTTTAAAGCCATGTCTGCGTTCGGCAATCCTGCAAAATTAATACGACTTTGCAGGATAACTTTAAGTGGCACAAGGTCAGCAGTTAAAGTCGGAAAGGACCTATCGGAGCCCTTCAATACCGAACAAGGATTCAGACAAGGTGACAGTTTGTTGTGTGATATTTTTAACATCCTTCTGGAAAAGGTCATACGAGACGCAAAGGTGAACAGAAATGACACTCTGTACACCAAACAACACATGTTACTCGGCTACACCGATGACATCGATATTATGGGTCGAACAATGCGAGCGGTATCAGACACCTTTGAACAAATTGAAAAGGACGAACTGTGAAACTGGAGAACTACAGCTTCGAGGTAGTTAAAGATTTTATATACCTTGGTACCGCCATAAATAAAACTAATAACATAAGTATTGAAATTCGGAGAAGGATATGGATGATCAACTGATGCTACTATGGTCTAAGTAAGCAGTTCAGAAACAAGGCCAGATGAGGCAGCTCCTGGGGGTGTTTGAGGGAAAAATTCTCCGAAATATCTACGGGCCGATCTGCGTCGACGGTAAATATGGGCGTCGAATGAACCACGAGCTTTTTAGTCTATACGCATACATCGACATAGTCAGTCGTATTGAGCTGCAGCGACTACGGTGGCTAGGTCATGTTGTGCGAATGAATGAGAATGCCCCAGCTCAAAAGGCATATAAAAGCGATGGTTCACACAGAATGGGAAGGCCACGAATTCGATTGAAAGATCAAGTAGAAGACAACGTCTCGGAACATGGCCTTTCAAATTGGAGGAGATGCGCCCAAGGCCGACGCGTTTCATATGAAATCTTTTTAAGCTCGTATTATGGAACAACCGTTCTGTAAAAAGCCAGTTAAGTAAGTAAGTTCAAAATTTATATATAGATTGTGAATTATAATAATTATATTATCGCAATAATTTAATCGCAATAATTTTCTTTTTGTTTCATTTCTAATTTATGCTTATAATATATATTTTATATTTTGATTTTTTTTTTTGTCTATATATTTTAAAATAAGTTGATATGGGTTTTTTATATTTTATTATTTAAAATAGATATGGAAATTAAAATGTAAATGGGAAATTAAAAGAGGAAAAAATAATGGCTTATTAAGCAAAACAATATAAAAATATTTTTCTTTAATTATTGCTCCTTAGTTTTTGATTTTTTTGTTCAATTGGAAAACATTCTAAACTATTTAAAACAATAATAAAAAAAAACCAAAAATAATGCAAAAAAACTTTTTGTAATTAAAACATTCAAATATCACAGATTTTGGATTTTGTCCACATCATTTTCATTTCCACGTTTTCCTTGTAAAAATATATAGAAAAAAACTAAATGCACAATTTTTATATTAAATTAAATTTTTATAGCCAATTTTTTGTTTTTGAGATTTCTAAAGCGAAAATGTAGAAGACTTTTTTTCATATATTTTGAACATTTTTTGTTTGTTATTTTTTAAATAAAGGAACATGTGTGTTTTGTTTTAAGGTTATTTTTTTTAATAAAAAAAGAAAAAAAAATAACACAATAGAGGCAAAATAAAATTAGTAAAAAATCAGTCTGTATTTTAAATAATGTGCAGTAGAATTGAATTGAAAATTTATATATTTTTAAATCTATACTCAAAACATAATGGTCGCCTATTTTTAAAAACAAATTATCCTCATAACTGCACATTATTATTATTTTTTTTTTTTTTTTTTTTTTTTGTTAGGAAATAAAAAATAATCAGTTTTAACCTAATTTATAATAAAAAAGGGAGTCTTAAAACAATGGCACACTTATGATTTATATATATATATATTTTGATAGCACACTACATTGTTTTTTACTGAGCATTTTGAAAAGAAAAAATACTTTTTCCGTTTGTTTGTTTTTTCTTCTTATTCAGCTAAGTTTTGTTAATAATTATAATAATAATAAAAATTATCTCCAACTTTAGAGTTGAAATTGCACAAATACTTAATTTACATACAATTAATAATTTCATTAAGATTGGTTTTAAAAACCTACATTCGAAGTTATGTGAGATTTTTTTTCGTTTAATATAAAATAATAACACTAATGCTATTGGGATTTTTTCTGATTTTAAAATTTACTTTAAACCTTTAGCATCAATTCAAGGATTTTATAATTTTTTTGATAGGAAAGAAATACCTTCTCATATTTATGTTGAGGATAATTTTCAGGGCTGAGGATTTGATTTTCTTAATAAAAGACGCAGAACCTAAAGAAAAAATCGCTCATCTACTAGTAACCTACACTATAGAAATATTAGTCCTAAGAAACTGAGGAAGTTTTTGCATAAAAATATCTGTCATCGTAAAATGCTTAAAAATCCACACGCTTTATGCGGATGCTTAAAAAAATATTTTTAAAAATCCACACGCCTTTTGTGGATGCTTAAAAATACGTTTTTAAAAATCCGCTCGACATATAATTTTATTATGATTAAGAATATATATATAACCCCGGGGAATATAATGAGACACTTAGGACGACTCAACTCAATGACCTAGAAGTTTAATAAAAATCTGTCATCAGTGTCTAAGAATTATTTTCTATATATAATACTATTCCTCTAAGCAAATAATCAGACAGCTGCAACAGTTTTTGTTTCAAATAATAAATAAACTACCTCTGAATTTAAAATGTATGTAACTATATAAACTTAAATATAATTATAGGACAAAGGATTCCTCAATGTAAACAAGAATTGATTCCTATAAAAAGGTAGCAGTGTGCTTATGTTTGATATTTTTCTTCAGTTCTTTAGGGAAGGAGAATGTAGAATAAAATCTACTACATATTAAATTTAATCTTACCAAGCTATATGTGTAATTATTGTATGTGCTGTGGAATGGTTTTTTTCTATTAGTTTGGGATATACATATAAATATTGTTATGGCATTCATCAATCTTTTTCACACATATATCATCTCGTTGATTTTCGAAACGTAAAACATAATTCAGAGCTTAATAAATAATAATTATTTTTAAACTTACCTTAAATAGAAATCGCCTTGCAACTAATTGCTTAAATTCTCAATACGATTTGTTGATAGATTAGTAATAAGGGATGGACCATTATTGCCACCAACAGAAGACATGCCACCAATACCGCCACCATTTGGACCAACTCCCATAACACCACCTCCAATGCCACCAACACCACTACCATCATTTAAATTTGATGTACCCTCACTTTCACTTTTCCACGAAGAGACTTGTATATGGGGTGGTGGTAAATAATTGCGTAAAGTTTGAACAATTTGTATGGTGTCCATTAAAGCTAAAATGACCGAGAGACAATAAAATTAATTTCCAGAATTCTTCTGTGTTCATTGAAATATCGCACATACTTTTCTGCAAGGATTCACTTTGTTTACCATAGGGTTTACACATTGATGGACGTATATAGGTTTTCATACGTGCCATATTACGCATTAATTCGGAAAATACCCGCACTATTTTATCCTGGCCAACGGGTAAATTATCTCGGGAATTCATATCCGGATTATTGTTAGACCATGCCCCATTGTGTAAAGCCAAAAGATCTTTATTCGATTCCAATGTTTCAAGATTTGAGCTGCAGAAAACCAAAGAATTAAATTTTAAATTAAATCAAAATCAATTTTTTAATCGTTTTTCCTTACCGCAAAGTTTCAACACTTTTCTGTACCATTTGTTCAACCATATGAGCTGTGGAGGACGACGACGATGATGATCCTGCTGCTGACGATGCAGCCTGTGATGCTGACGATGTTCCTGTATTCGATATATCATGACGACTACTGCTACTATGCATTGTGGTGGGAGATTGCGGTGGTGGTGGCAACTGATGATGGCCACTGCTGTGGTGTGTTGGCAAAGGAACTCCTTGATTGGGATTACCAGCTGAGAGAGCCATTGCGGCTGCCGATGAGAGAACCCTTTGCTTTTCTAGGGCGGATAAGTTATTGAATTTTTCAAAACTTTGTTGGGCCAATGCCCGACTCTGTTGTTGTTGCAATAGGGCTGCCGTCAATTGTTGTTGTTGCTGTTGTTGGGCTGCAGCAGCTGCGGCTGCCTGCTGTAAGGCGGCCTGTTGTTGGTGCTGTTGTTGTTGCTGTTGATGATGTTGTTGCTGCTGCTGATGATGTTGCTGCTGTTGTTGTTGCTGCTGCTGTTGTTTGGCCACGGCAGCCACAGCTGCACTAATTTGTGACAACTGAGATTGTTGCTGCTTCGTCAAGTGCTGCAATTGTGGTGGAAACAGTGGAGACTTTGCCGATAAATCCACTTCACCACCTCCAGCAGAACTACTCGTTGCGGAACTATTACTTCCCGCCGAACTAGGACCACTAACAGTACCACCACCAGCTCCCGGGACATGACCATGAGGTGGTGGTGGCGGTGGTAGATGTGGTAAATGTTGCAAAAATTCAGGACTAACTCCGGGAAATTGTTGGTCCATAAATGGTAATGGTGATATACCCACGTGATTTTTATAATAACGACAAGCCGGACTGGGGCAAGATTGGACCACTTCAATGATAAACTCCTTTTCCATGCCGAAATTTTCTCTTCCAATGGTATAGGATTCTAGGACAGCTCGAACGGTAGCATCAACACTCAAGTGCAGGCCATGTGGACCGGACATATGTTTCAACATGACAGCATTGGCGAAATGTTCAAAGGGTAAGACAATTTTACCATTTTCACGCAACACTAAACGTCCTTGGGAGTCCAACGTCATGCGATTGGCCAATACCCTGTAAGCAAAAAAACACAGATTAGTCTCGGTGAACACACAACCAAAATCTATACCCTAAATATCCTTTCTCCTTTTTCTTGGCTACCAGACACACACGCACACATACGTTGTATTGTCAGTATACTTACTGTAAATATCCTGCACTCGGTAACAATGCATTATCTTTCAGATCGGAAAAACATTGCAAAAGTTCTGCACTTGGATTCCAACCTTTGTTTTGCAAATACAATTGCAACAACATATACAATTTCTCTGTCACATAACCTGAACCAGATAGGCCGGGATTGACCGATGATGGAATATCACCAGCACCACCATGTGGGCCACCACCCACTGTGGACGATGAGGGCGCTGACATACCACCACCCACTCCCGAGGGACCTGCACCTGGCGCTGAACCCGGACCACCACCTCCGCCACCTTTCGACAATGCCGCCTTCATTGTTTCCGATAAATCCAATTTATAGTTTTCCGGGTAGAAATTCTTGACGTGATCCTTAAAAGTACAACAACAATAATTAATGTCCCCTCTATATTCCACTTTTTTTACTTACCAAATTATTCATTTTCATCAGGAAATCTCTCGAGATGTTGTTAGCGCCCGGCTGTGACGTCGACGTCCTTGCCTGTGATCTGGCAATTTTTAAAAATTTTTCTTTTTCACCTTTTTTCAAACAGTTATGCTTAAATATTCTTCTTCTACTAACGGTTTTCCATATAATGCGGCTAGCTCCTTCAAATTTTCACTGCTATAAATCGGATTTTGAGAATTCATCAGCTATTTCTTATAAGAAAAATACTTTTTGGCCAAGCAATTACACTTTTGTTCAGACGTGACTTGAAAATTTTCTTCCTTCTTATAGTTTACAGGATTTCTTTGTGTGAATTTACACACGAGCATCAGTTGCATGCAACAATGATGGTTGCATCTGGGTTTGTGCGTTTTTATAATTTTGTATTAAAAGAATAACGAATTGTAGATAAATGCTTGTAAAAATGCATAATATATATTGAAATTGACTTTGTTATTGTATTTAATTGATCAATTTGTTTATTTTGTTTGAAATAATTGCAAAAATGATAAATTCAATAAATTCATAAGTTTAGGGATTTGTAGATCGACTTTAGTCTTTAGACTTTAGTGAATTGTAAAGGTCGATTTCTCTTCTGTCGCCAATTGCTAAGACAGTCCAACATAAATACCATGGCTTGAATAAAGTTTTTTTTTTCCTTATCAACTCCTCTCCTTCCTGGTTATTGAATAACGTTTGCAAAACACCGGCATTTTTACGACATTCGCTGACGCCTTAGTTGTGTTTAATATCAAACAGCGGATCATTCAATGTGGCAACTATCGGCATTTCAAATGTCAAACATGTCAAACAATTCGTTTATTTACAAAACAACAAGACACGTGCGGTACTGCGAGATTAATTCCCAAATAGAACAAATAATTTAAAAAATTAACAATTTGCTAAAAGTTTAATAGGAAAAATGAAGGTAAAAATGATAAGCCGTAATCCGGACGAATATGTCCGTGAAACAAAACATGAACACCACAAATGTAAGTTTACAACAGCACCCATTAAGCTTCCCAATATGTAAACAATATATTTCTTTTAATTTACAGTACCTCGTAATTACGATCCTTCTCTGCATCCAATGGAATCGGCCCGTGAATATGTTCGCGCCTTAAATGCCACCAAATTGGAAAGAGTATTTGCCAAACCATTTGTTGGCAATTTAAGTGGTCATCGTGATGGTGTATCGTGTTTTGGTAAACACCCAAAACGTTTGTCAACCTTGACGAGTGGTGCGTATGATGGTGAGGTGCGGGTCTGGGATTTGGCAAATCGTGAAAGTGTCCGTAGTTTTGTGGCTCATGAGGGATTTGTGCGTGGTATCTGTTACGATGTTTCGGGAGAACGTTTCTTCACTGTGGGCGATGATAAAAATATCAAGGTATGGAATTCAAATGCACCCGATGTTGGTGAAGATGAAGAACCGATAAATACGATACTAAGTCGTACCATGATAACGGGTATAACACATCATCGTAAAGAACCGAAATTTGCAACATGTGGTGAATATTGTTCCATTTGGGATGAGAGTAGAAATGATCCACTGAAGAATTTGAAATGGGGTGTTGATACACTACATGCAGTGGCTTTTAATCCCGTGGAGACATCAGTGTTGGCTTGTTGTGGCAGTGATCGTTCAATTATATTTTATGATCAACGTGAAGCGAATCCCGTAAGGAAAATGGTATTGACAATGAAGAGCAACAAATTGGCATGGAATCCCATGGAGGCATTTAATTTTACGGTGGCCAATGAGGATTGCAAGTGAGTAAAACTTAATGGAATATATAAAAATTGTTAAATAAAATTTGTTTCTTCTCTTATAGTTTATACACCTTCGATACCCGCCAGCTGAGAAATCCTCTCAAAATCCACTTTGATCACGTGTCCGCCGTCACCGATGTCGATTATTCTCCAACCGGTAAAGAATTCGTCTCTGGCAGCTACGATAAAACCATACGCATCTACAATGTCCACCAAAGTCATTCACGTGATATTTATCATACAAAACGTATGCAACATATTGTTTGTGTTGCATGGTCATTGGATAACCGCTACGTATTTACCGGTTCCGACGAGATGAATATACGTATGTGGAAAGCTAAAGCCGCCGAGAAATTGGGTGTTATACGTCCTCGTGAACGTGTTGCATTCAATTATCAGGAAGCTTTGAAAGAGAAATATGCCGCTCATCCACAAATTAAACGTATTGCTAGACATCGTCAAGTACCACGTCACGTGTTGAATTCACAGAAGAAAATGCGTGCCGTTAAGGATAAGGAATTGCGTAAGGAAGCTAATGTCCGTAATCATTCGAAACCGGGCACCGTGCCATTTGTGGCGGAGAAAAAGAAGGCTGTACTAAAAGAGGAGGTGTGAGCAAGAACTACTTTGTTTTGTTTCTTTTTTGCACAGATAAAATTATTAGCTATTAAGAGAGTGTTTTTTTATTAGAATTTAAATATATAATAAAATAAATTAAAATTAATACTTCAGTAGTGTTGGCGGTTTGTTTTCGATACCATTTGTATTTTGTTTTTGGAAAATAGTCAGGCTGAATCCCAATTTGTTGTTTTTATAAAAAACTACTATTACTACTGAAGTTCTAGACGCAGGCACGGTTAAACTGTTTGGTTTGTTGCTGTATACTAGCAACACCAACAAAGTCGTTGTGTGCATTTGTCGCGATGTGACAACACACAACAGTTTGCCCCTCGGCAAACAATGCCATACATTCCCCACTAATAAATAGTTGTTTTTTATAAAAACAACAAATTGGAAATCAGCCTGACTATTTTGCAAAAACAAAATTAAAATTAATACCAAATTGTTATAAGGATATTTAATTTAAAACATACGCTTGTATGTTTGAAAAATCTTTTTTAGAAAAGTCCCCTGAAATATATATTTATACGGTCCCTGAAATATATATTTTTTTAAAGAAAGTCTACACTTGTAGACTGGACTGGACTGAAAATTCCACGCCTATAGTTTGGAACGCCCTTGAAATATATTTTTTAAAGAAAGACTACGCTGGACGGTCCTTGAAACACCCTTTTTAATAAAGTCCACGCCTTTAATTTGGAAGGTCCTTGAAAAATTGCCCTTAAGAAATATTCTTAAAAATAAAAATCGTCGCCTAAAGTCGGGATGGTTATTGAAAAATATTCTTTAAAAAATCCACGCCTAAAGCCGGGATGGTTATTGAAAAATATTCTTAAAAATAAAAATCGTCGCTTAAAGTCGGGATGGTTATTGAAAAATATTCTTTAAAAAATCCACGCCTAAAGCCGGGATGGTTATTGAAATATATTCTTTAAAAAATCCACGCGAGTAGTTAAAGTTATGTTGTTTTGTGTAACTTAAATGGCCTATTTGGCTTTGTTACTATGCTTAATAAAATAAAGTTTGGTTCTTTAAAAAAAATCCACGTTTATAGCTATGTTGGCCCTCGAACAAAAAATATTCTTTAATAATATGGTTATTTTATTACATAAAATAAGGCTATTTGATTAAGTTTAATTAACTTAAAATATATAATATATTAAAATTAAATACACAAATATAAATGTTGTAAAACAAATAGTAGCTAAATATATAGGGACATGCTAATTATTTAATAATAATTAGTCCTGGAATAATTAAATCAAATATATAAAATTACATAAACATTCAACACACGTTCAAAACTATGTACGACCGCAAAGAAAAACAATGAATCAGTCTATTTTGATGTATGCTCTATCATTCCATATAAGGTGCCTATACATATTACCAACTATGTACATGGAAACTTATAAGACTGTCTAATCATAAACAAAAGGAAACAACCCAAAAACAACTACAAATTAAATTTCAAATTACGTATTAACACAATATCGGATGCCGACAGGGTAATACAACGACGATGCAATGTCAGCAGATATGCATCCTGGAGCATTTGTGTTATAAACATTTCCGTTGCCTCTTGTATCGCTTCCAGCGCTGTCGGTGTATAATGTGTTACGTCTCGACGTACATCCATCGTAATTTCCCTCACCAAACGGGCAAATGGTGCTCTAGGTATTTGCAATTCTGAAAAAAAAAACAAAACACAAGAAATTCGTAGTTTAGATGGAATTAATTGCGGACTTGACTTACTTGTGGACTTTTGTAATTTCATTATTTTTCTCAAGTCGGCTAATTGTCTTTGACGATAGGATGGCTGTTTACGTTTTGCAGCTCCCCTGAGTACATCCTGAGTTGTTTCCTTTCTTTGTTGATTTTGTGGCGTTTCTCTTTGCTGATTCCGGCTTGTTTCCCTTTGTTGAGTCCGGCTTGTTTCCCTTTGTAGATTATGTGTATCCCGCAAGACGAGTTCCCCACGATCTCTAGCCTCTTTGCTAGTTGATGGTGGTATTTCGTATGGATTCGATATACGGGAATAACCTCGGACGCTGACATCACTATCACTGGCTTCACCCAAGGTTCCACGCGCCATGCTTCTTGTTGCTGCACTCCTTCGTTCAATTGGCTTTCTTGGGGGCATTTTCTCCTTTATTATTATCGTATTTTTTCGGTTTGTTTAAAAAAGTTAGTTTATTTGAAAATTCAAAGCAAAGCGCGTCCCCTCTTATTATTAGGGTTTTGTAGTGTTTAGACGTACACTTGTAATCATCTACAGTGGATAGCACGACAGCTAGCACACTAGTTATTATTTTACAGTGGATAGCGTACATCGTGGTTTACATATGCATCTTTTGTGTGCAACTCTGTTCAGCAGAGTTGCTGAGTTCTTATGAGATGAAGGTAAAAGTGGCTTTAGATTTACAAAATCCACTCGATCTCGAACGTCAATTCCTTAGCCTATACGTAAAATATAATCTATTGTAATCATCTTACAGTGGATAGGACGAAAGGTGATCATTTTATAGTGTATAGCACACGAGCACATTTTATAGTGGATAGTGTACGTCGTGGTTTACACATGCATCTTTTGTATGCAACTCTGCTCAGTAGAGTTGCTGAGTTCTTATGAGATGGAGGTAAAAGTGGATTTAGATTTACAAAATCCACTCTATCTCGAACGTCAATTCCTTAGCGTATATGTAAAATATAATCTATTGGATTTATGAAGATGATTAAGGTAACGTATACACTATGAAATTGACATTTAAGATCGAGTAGATTTCGTAGTCTAAACGTATCGCATTTAGATTAGAACTTTAACAGCACGCATATGTAAAAGTCAAGTCTGTGGAATCGGCACTGCATGAGGTCGTCAGTTATATTGAGATTAATATGGAAAACTCAAACTTTACGTTGGCTGCCTTCTTAGATATAGACGGAGCCTTCAACAGCATCAAACATGAGTCCGTAAACCACTCACTTAAAAAATTTTGCATTCCTGAAACCCTTACTTGTTGGATAGATAAAATGCTAATAGCAGAATTATAAATTCAAATGTGGTTTATACAAAAATCAGGAAAAAACTACTAGGCTAACGGCCTTGGAGTAAATCCAACAACGACAGAACTGGTAATGTTCACTAGGAAACGTAAGCTCGGCGTCTTTGCTCCACCAACACTGGATGGAGTGCAACTTCGTCTGGTCCCCGAAGCAAAATACATTGGCACAATCTTGGATCAATTACGATGGAACAGGAACGCTGAGGGACGGGCGAAGAGAGGGCAAATTGCACCCTATACATTCAAGAATTCCATTGTGAAAAGTTGGGGGCTAAAACCATCGACTATACACTGGATGCATAACACCCTGGTAAGGCCCATCCTTTCCTATGGTTCTCTTGTCTGGTGGCACTGCTTGCGCCATAAGTGGACATCTATCAAACTAGACAAGGTTCAAAGAGCCGCCTCGATTTCAATAATTGGAGCCGTGAGGACCACCACATAAGCAGCTCTGAACGCAATACTCAACTTAAGGCCTCTGAGTCTCAGCATTAAGTGTCAGGCAGCGTGAACAAAATCTATGGCGAAATTGTACCTATGGGCATGGATGTATCCTCAACGAATTAGGTATGACATTGGCTCAACGTATAAAAATAAGCGACTATATATCACCAGTCCTGAGATTTGACGATATAGATGTCGTTATCCGTAGTAGAGACGACTGGGAACGTAGCAACCCTCCTCTGGACGGTCTGATTTTTTATACATCCGTCTGTATAAAAAGTCAAGATGGAAGAAGATACGGGGGCAGGCGCCTACTGTGAAAGGTTAGGCCTTGAGCTTACATACAAGCTGGGTAACAACTGTAGTGAAATCTTCGCGATCTGGAAGGTAGCGGAATTGATAAAAAGACTGGATGCAGAGATCGTTGAACCGGTGACAATCTTTGTGTATAGTCAGGCGGCTCTTAAAGTCATCAAATACTGCAACATCAAATCTGATGCCGTCCTCAGCTACAGCTATCGGCTTTGTTGGGTACAAGGGCACCGTGACATCATGGGTAATGAAAAAACCGACGAATTAGCTAGACAAGGATCTCAATCTACATATCTAGCAATCGATGGCTCAATCACATCAACCACATGTCACCTTTTTCGGAACTTTGATGCGATCTTCAACGAATGAGGAAGAAGATACGGGGGCAGGTGCCTACTGTGAAAGGTTAGGTCTTGAGCTTACATACAAGCTGGGTAACAACTGTAGTGAAATCTTCGCGATCTGGAAGGTAGTGGAATTGCTAAAAAGACTGGATGCAGAGATCGTTGAACCGGTGACAATCTTTGTGTATAGTCAGGCGGCTCTTAAAGTCATCAAATACTGCAACATCAAATCTGATGCCGTCCTCAGCTACAGCTATCGGCTTTGTTGGGTACAAGGGCACCGTGACATCATGGGTAATGAAAAAATCGACGAATTAGCTAGACAAGGATCTCAATCTACATATCTAGCAATCGATGGCTCAATCACATCAACCACATGTCACCTTTTTCGGAACTTTGATGCGATCTTCAACGAATGAGCCAATGAACTGTGGCACAACGAACCTAGGTGCAATGTGTCAAGATTTATTTGGCCGACTCTGTCAACGAAGAGAACAAACTCACTATTGAACCTGTGTAAAGCTAAAATCAGAGTAATGGCAGGAGTCATTACTGGTCATTGCAATATCAGGGCCTTTACCAGTAAATGGGAACATGATGTTACTGACTTATGTAGACTCTGTGTTGAGGAGGAGGAGAGGGAGACAATTGAGCATCACCTGTGTCGCTGTCACACACTTTCCACCGCGAATGAATGAGAATGCTCCACGTCAAAAGGCGTAAAAAAGCAGCGAGCCTACTGATGGTTCACGCAGAAGGGGAAGGTCACGAATTAGATTGAAAGATCAACTAGAAGACATCTTGGAACGTGATTTTTCAAATTGGATGAGAAGCGCACAAGATCGAAACGCTTGGAAATCTTTTGTAAGCTCGGCTTATGGAACAACTGTTCGTAACACGCCAGCTAAGTAAGTAAGTATCTTTTCTATCCCCTGCAGAACTCTCCATATCATTCATGGGCAGTTGGGGCCAATTGGTCTCGGAGTGCTGCAGCCACATTAGTGACTGCACATCCCTAAACCTAACATACATTAGAACTTTTTAACGGGTTAAGCTATTTTATGATGATTTATTTGTACAAATTGTCACCTAAAATGTCATGCCTGAAATCATTTCTTTTTCTTCATTTTTTTTGACATTTCACCCCAATAAACACCATTTTCTTCAAAGCCTTTGTGTTGGCAACACTGATTTCATTTTCATAGAGGAAAAATAAATACTTCAAAGTTGACAACACTATTGTCATATTTTTGCCAATCGGAAGTGGGGGCATATTTGGGGGGACCTTACAAATTCAAAACATTGCTTTAGCACGAGAATTGAAAAAAGCAGTAAAACACACAACAGTTGTTGTCGAACCGTCCGAGAGAGAATATTTGCTCGCACAAACCGATTTTTGTTTGCGTGCGTAACGGTACGGTTGTGTGTTTTTGGTTTTCTGTTTTATATTTTGCATTACGGTGATTAGAAATTTAATTCTTTTTGTGTTTTCATTTGGCAAAGGCCAAAAAGTATTGTGAGAGATAAAATAAAAAAAGAACGAATGACCATTGATTAAGAAAGGCTTTAATTAGTGTACAACAAAAACAAAATAAAAAAGAATCGAATTAAAATAAAAATCAATTGGAATTTAATTGACAGTCAAGTGCATTGTATAAAAAAAGCGAGAGATAATTCCCATAACGACATTTATTGTAAACCGCTTTATAACCAAGTCTGTTAGAATTTTACATTTTTATTGGATGGTTGCAAGGTGGCCTGTGTGAGAAAAAGCCAACAAATCTGTGAACTTGAACTTGTATTTATTTTACAATTCCCATTGCAACCCCCTCCATAACCTCTTTCAGCACTTTCATAACTCTCTCATTTATGGAGCGCAGAGTAGTAGTATAGGAATTTGAAAAAAACAACAACGAAGTTGATTCTGTTAATTTTGTTGTTGTTCTTGTTATTTTGAACACGTTGCTCTGTGCTTTCTTATTATCTTCTCTTACGCTTGATTTAATGTTTTTTTTTTGTTATTACGTCTGTCTCCACTCACAACACAACAACAGATTTTTATAGTAAAAGCGGCAACAACAATTCTACAACAACAACATGGATGCACTAAGTGATATATTGGCGCCATACAGTGATGACATTGCCAAATTTGCCGGTTCGGTAACATGTCTGCAATTTTTATCCGGTGTTTTTCTACTCAACGACATTCGTAATAAAAAAAGCAGCGATCAATATCCGGCAGATCCATTCCTGGGAGGTATTGCATTGTAAGTAAAAATATGTATATACATATGTACTTATTTTAAAATGTTTATTAATGTGTAATTGTTTACTTCAGATATTGATTTGAAGATATTTTCAAAAATTTTGCAATAGTTTCCATTGAACAAATTATGGAAGAGGTGAAGATTGAAGTTATTACCTTGTATTAATAGCAGAGAATTAAACAGAAATTTTCCGAAAGAAAAGCTTTGTAAAATAAGACGTCTATTTTGAGCCGTAAATGTAACTAAAAAGTCCATGCTGTGATAGTCCTTCATGAATACTCATAAAAAATTCTCGTTTTTAGATATGTAGTTCTTCAAATAATCTACGAAAATTTACTAGGCTTACAGCTTTATCTCTGAAGAAAATGTGTTAAAAATTTAACGCTTACAGCTCTGATAGTCCTTGAATAAAATTTCAAGACTGATAATTCCCTAAAAACCAAGGCTACTTCTCTGATAGCGCTTCAAAAAATTCTCTAAAAAATCCAGACTGCTCTGATAGTCCTTCAAAAAATTACCTCCTTGAAAAAACGACCTTAAAAATTAAGACTATTGATTTGAACGTCTTAAAAAATCCTTTAAAAAATCCACGACTGGGATAGATCTTTTGACTGTACAACAGGACGCAAAAATCAAAACTCAATATTGACTGTAACTTCTTTAAAGTACATTTCAACAAATATAAGAGTGAGATTAAGCGTGCCAAGAAAAAGTTTTGAATTAACTTCTGTGAGTCGATAGAAGTCAACGACGCTGCTAGGTTTTGAAGATTACTATCCACTGATCCGAAATCCATTATGAGTATCAAGAAACAAGAGTGTGGTGCGTGGACGAACTCCGGCTCTGAGACTAGTAACCTCCTAGCAGAAACCCATTTCCTAGGTTGCAAAGTTGTGGATACCATCAACATTGAATGTGATGACACTCAACATCTTGCGAGTATAGATTTCGATCTTACAGACAAGGTGGTTAGAAGAAAAAAGATATGCTGGGCAGTCAGCACGTTCAATCCATATAAATCACAAGGACCAGATAGTATCATACCGGCTATGATTCAGTTTGCCTCGCCAAGTATATATCTGACCCTTGGGAAGATCTATACGGGGTGCTTGACTCTCTCGTGCGTTCCGGGTCTAAGGATCGTGGCCCATTAGCATATCATCCTTTCTTCTCAAGACTGTCGAAAGATTGATTGACCAGGAGATTAGGAGTTGTGTAGACACCACCTCTCTTAGCAATTCGCAAGTCTGTGGAATCTGCACAGCATGAGGTGGAGTTGTGTAGGCACCACCTCTCTTAGCAATTCGCAAGTCTGTGGGTCCGTAAACCACTCACTTAAAAAAGTTAGCATTCCTGAAACCTTTACTAGTTACATAGATAAAATGCTAAATAGCAGAATTATAAATTCAAATGTGGGTATACAAAAATCAGGAAAACAGTAACTAGAGGCATCCCTCAGGGCGAGGAGCTCTCACCTTTGCTATGGCAATTTGTAATCAACAATATTCTGATGGAACTGGAAGGGAAAGGTATCAAAGTCGTATCCTATGCGGACGACGTGGTGATATTGATTTCCGGAAAATTTCCGTCGACAATTTCGGAGCTCAGGCAAAGAGCCTTATCGACACTGTCACGCTGGGCCAAGGCTAGCGGCCTTGGAGTAAATCCACAAGTAGCTCTGAAATCCACAAGCAGCTCTGAAAAAAATGCTGAACTTAAGGGCTCTGTGTCTCAACATTAAGTGTCAGGCAGCGCGTAGTGCACTGTTTCCAAGCTGAAATCTTGGCGATCTGGAATGCAGCGGACTTAATAAAAAGTCTGGAAGCAAAGATCGTTGAACCGGTGACTAATTAAGGCCTCTGTGTCTCAGCATTAAGTGTCAGGCAGCGCGTAGTGCCCTATTTTCCAAGCTAAAATCTTGACGATCTGGAAGGCAGAGAAATTAATAAAAAGTCTGGATGCGGAGATCGTTGAACCAGTGACTACCTTTGTGGATAGTCAGGCGGCTCTTAAAGCTATCAAATCCTGTAATATCAAATCTGATGTCGTGCTCACTTACAGCTATCGGCTGTGTTGGGTACCAGGTCACCGTGACATCATGGGTAATGAAAAAAGCAGATGAATTAGCTAGACAAGGATCTCAATCTACAGGTCTAGCAATCGATTGCTCAATCAAACTACCCATCTGTCATATCATTCGGAACTTTGAGGCGTTCTTCGACGAACGAGCCAATGAACTCTGGCACAAAGAACCTAGGTGAAATGTGTCAAGATCTATCAAGATCAATAGGACAAACTCACTGTTGAACCTGAGCAAAGCTGAAATTAGAGTAATGACAGGAGTCATTACTGGTCATTGCAATATCAGGGCCTTTACCAGTAAATGGGACCATGATGTTACTGATTACTGCAGACTCTGTGCTGACGAGGAGGAGACGGAGACAATTGAGCATCTCCTGTGTCGCTGTCCAGTTTTGGCCTACAGACGGGACAGACTAGCGGGTGCTCTCTTTCCAACGTCTCTAAACTTCTTCTCAACTATGGAACCTGCTTTGATCTATAATACATCATTAGAAACCTAAAGTGGTTAGGAAAGAGCAACCTTAGCACGTAATATGATTTTCTGTCCAATTTCTTTAGCCATCGAAACTATTCTCACCTTCCTCCTCTTTTCTCTTCTTTCCTTTCAAATAAATTCCGTCTCTTACAGTCCTTCAAGAAATTAACTTTAAAAAATCCACGCCTGTGATAGTCCTTCATGAAATATACTTTAAAAGAATGCCAGTCAAGAAATCTACTTTAAAAAATCCACGTCTTTGATAGTCCTTGACATATGCTACTATAAAATATCCAATCCTTTAGATGTGATAGCTTTTGGAAAGACGTTATAAAAAAGCCCCTTATGTATTTTTTATTTATTTATATCTGAAAAATGTTCATCATTGCCATCCATCCCGACACACCCTTCGTTGTTTTCAATTTGTTAAAGTCATTTGTTAATTAAATTACGTTTTTCCGCAACCAGTACAGCCGTGGGACACTCCTCGAAAAACGCTTGCCACGCAATGCATTTAGATGAGATGACATTATTTTTTTCTTTCAATTAGGCTCCTCTGTTGATTTTATTTTTATAACTTGAGTATTTGCGTTAAATACATTTTTATTGGTATTACATTTGATTAGATTAGTTTGTTGTAGATGCTTTTGCTTTTTCGTTTTTCGTTTTTAGATTTTGTTTTTGCTCGACAATTTTATTCTAATCACAGATGGGATGGGGTTTGTATTTGTTTTTTTATGTTACTGCCCAATGGCACAATTTCATCATTTCGGGTTAATATTGAATTGATATATTATTTCCGAATGAATTTGTCAAAATACTTGAAATCTTATCAGTTTGTTGGTTACAAAGAGGAACTACTGCTGCTGTCAATAATTCAAAAACATTTATCAAAATATTAAAGTTTTCGATAGGGATTTTCATTGATAAGATTTGTGTGTGCAATTTTTTGCTGACGTGCCGTGATATGCTTAAAAAAACTAAACGAAAAGTAGATATTTAGTTGTGAAATATTAAAAGAAAATTTTTAAGGGCCCAAAATAAAAACATCACATTAATATGACTCAGCTCAATGTCAATCCTTAGATGTGGCGTGATGATATGCTATTACCATTTTTTAATGGGTGGAGTAGTCAGTTTTTTCATAAATTAATTGAAAATAAAATGTTGTAATATTCAGAAGAACTAACAAAGTGGGATTTTTTTAAAAAATATATATTTTTACAAATCAATCCGTATATTCTGCGTGAACCATCACTTACCTCGCTTTTATATGCCTTTTGAGCTGGGGCATCTTTATTCATTCTCACGAGATGGCGTAGACAACGTAGTCGTTGCAGCTCGATTTCGTCTGACTATGTTGATGTCCGAGAATAGATGGTATAGCTCATCGTTCATTCGACGACGATATTCACCATCGACGCAGATCGGCCCATAGATCTTCCGGAGAATTTTTCTGTCAAACACTCCAAGAGCTGCCTCATTTGCTTGCGCAAGGGGTAATATCTGCGTCTTGTAGAGTGTGAGTTTGGTCTGGCGAGAGGTGGTCTTGCTTTTGAGTTACTTACTCAGACCATAGTACCACCTGTTGGCCAACACTATTCTCCTCCGGAGAGGTATATAAAATCGTTCACTACCTCGAAGCTGTAGTTTTCAAGTTCCACAGTTGGTCCGAGTCTACTGGAAGTCTTGCGCGTGATACAATCAGCTTGGTCTACTGCCAGTAGACTAGCAATGTTTGACCCATTATGTCGATGTCGTCGGCGTAGGCGAGTAACATATGCTGTTTGCATCTCCTATGACCTTTTCCAGCAGGTCACACAACAAACGGTTACCTTGTCTGAATCCTCGTGCGGCATTGAAGGGCTCCGAGAGGTCCTTTCCTACTTTAACTGCTGACATTGTACCAGTAAAAGTTATCCTGCATAGCCGTATTAATTTTGCAGGAATGCCAAAGGCAGACATGGCTTTAAACCTCCAAACAAATAGAGCTGTCGAATGCGGCTTTATAGTCGACGAATGTGGAATGTGTCCATGTGTTTTTCGTGGGTTATTTCCAGGCTCTGGTCAATGGTGGATTTGCCAGGCCTGAAGCCGCATTGGTTGGTCCATAAATGTCATTGACCACTGGCTTCAGTCGTTCACACACCACGCTGGATAGCATTTTATATGTGATGGGAAGGAGACTTATTCCTCTATAGTTGGCACAATCGTCTTGTCTCCTTTTTTGTGCACGGGACACGGGATGCTGAGGTTCCAATAATTGGGCATGCATTCCTCTAACTAAATTGTACAAATCAGCTGGTGCATACTACGGACCAGCATTTGACCACCGGTCTTGAATAGTTCAGCTGGTAATCCATCGGCACCTGCTGCTTTGTTGTTCTTCGGCCGATTAATTGCTATTCTGACCTCATCTTGGCTAGGTGGTATATACTCTATACCGCCATACACGTCTCCTCCTGATCGGTCGTTGTTTGATCGGGAGAAATCCAAGTGGCCTTGTATATCGAGAAGCGAAGTCAATCAATCTCATGCCGTTGTCGGATGTTTCTTCATGGAGGCTGAATTTTCCGACAGTGGGACAAAAAATATTTTCACTTCCGATTTTTGAGTTAAAAAAATGCTAGCAGCATTTTAATGTCATGGCCAGAGCAGCGGTCATATGCAGTTTCTAGGCGGGGGTCGTCAACGCTGGGGGGTTGGTTTTCTTTCTCGTTGTTTTTTTCAGTAAGGGGGGTTTTCCGAGTGTGAGCAACAACCTGACGCCTCAACCCATTTTTTGTAGCTCTAAATGGTGCGCCAAATTCCCAAAGTTGGACCCAGTGAGATGAAATTTTACAAAGGGTATCAGATTGAGCCGAGTATGACGTGTATTCAGCTTTATTTAAATCGGTTCACATTCAGATATAAACCCCACATATATATTTTCAACATTTGACCGCTCTATTTTCTCCAGACTTTCAACTGAAAAGAAGAAAAAATATTGTTTAACAACTTCGACCGATGTCGAATTCCAGTTCCATATTTTGGAAGCCACTAAATGGATAACCCTTTAATATTCTCTAATTATAATATTCAACATTTGGGTGACCAATGTTGAATGGTAGAATTTAAAATAATTGCCTACTGTTGCATATTTTGCCGGTCCTCCGCCATAACTTTAAATTCCGAAAAAACGTGTTTTTCTCCGTCTGTGTGGCTGCATGTTAGAACATGCAAATTGCAGTAATTTACAATCGTAAGAGATTTTTTATCAGATATCTGAGAAGGCGAGCAGGTGAATCAAGTGCATGCTAAACTAGAAAAAAAGAACAACTGTGTGAAGTGTTTGCATACTCGCCTACCCACTTACCGGCTAGGTCAAATAAACTGCGACTAAGACATGTAAAGAATTCAACTAGTTGTGCTCTGGTAGTCAACCTATGCCTATCTGTTTGTGTGGCGGTGTCCACAAAAGGGTCATAAACTCAAGAGAATGTTAGAGAAACAAATGAAAAGCTTAATAGCTTTGTAGTGGGTGTAAATTGTTTGTCTGTTTTGCTTTGCAAAAAATATGCAGGACATAAACAACGCTACTATGTAACTGTTCAGGTGATATATGAATGTCCGTTATAAAAAGGGATACGGGGTTTTTTCTGTCTGTAGATGACATTTCGGAACTAATTGTTTGTTTGTAATCCATTGTGGCTTTTTAACGAGATTTATTTGAACTGTCTCCGTAATCAAGAAGGTATACAAAATTTTAAATTTATAAAGGCAAAATCGATAACAATTTTGATTATTAGAATATCCTTACAGTATTTGGAATAGAGCAATTGTATTTTTCTCACATAAAGGTCTATTTTTTTAATTTTCTTTTCTTTTTTATTTTCAGAACAATATTAAGTTTAAAAATGGGGGCCCTAATGGGCGATGAAGCAATGATCAAAGTCAATGTCATTGGTTTTGCCATTAACGTCATCTTCATGGTTGTCTTCTATTGGTATGCCTCGGAAACGTTTAGATCGAAAATCTGGTCGAAAATTGCAATGTATTTCACCTTTACGCTGGGCTGTTTGGCATATGCCAACTTTGAAGATCCCGCCAAAATTGAATTCCGTTTTGGTATGATTATCACCGCCATTCTGGTAGTACTTGTCGGCATGCCACTGCTGAATTTAGGTAAAATTATTGAAACCAAGAGCACTGAAGGACTACCATTCCCCTTGATATTGTCCGGAACAATTGTGGCCGCATCATGGGCTGCATATGGCATTTCCATCAGAAATCAAGTTGTAGCGGTAAGTAATTCACAATTTACCTGAAATACTTTTTTATAATCCAACACCTTTTTATTAATTTATTTACAGTATCAAAACTTGTTCTTATTCTTGTTGAGTTTTATACAACTCTCACTATTCGCCATATATCCAAACAGTTCAAATCCGGTAAAGACAACCACAGCTGATGGTGATGGTACACCATATAAAAAATTGAAATCAAACAACAATAGTCCATCCAAATCAAAAGCCAACAAGAAAAGGGATTAAATCCAGACATACATACCCACAAACATAATGGCACATTGCACAAAAGAGCTTTGCTTTGCTAAATAAAAAATACATTAAAACAACAAAACAAAAATATTAACAAATAAAAAGGCTTTAACTTTAAATCAAGAAAATAAAAAAATCCATAAGTGCATAACTTTTTGACAATAATAAAACATCTTCCAATAACGTATAACGATATATAAATATTTAATCAATTATTATTTTTTTAATAAAATCAAAATTATTTCACATATCTATAAATATTGTTATTTAGAATGTAATATAATGATAATTATTATTACTACAATTGTTGTTGTTTTTTATTACTATTTCTATTCTTATTAGCTATACAGCAAAATTTATAAGTTAACTTAAAAAAGAAAATAAGAAAAAATATAACACACAATAATAAACACTTTGTAAACATATTTCAAATAGCAAATTTTTGTTGAATGAATTATAACAAATTAAGAGCTTATTACAAAAAAATTAAAATAAATTTGATAAGAAAATAAAATATTATTATTGAAATGTTTGTCTGGGAATAAACAAATTAAGAGATTAGAAGTTAGAAAGTTATCTAGTTTCACTGATCAAAAATACAATATCACATTCTAAATATTACTTTTAATTTCCACATTGCTTGTTCTACAACAATTTTGCAATCGTTTGAATTTGTTTTCAGATTTTTAAGACCATTATTTAAGATATATATTTCAAATTCTGCTCATACATGACATGTTACAATATTACAAGTTAGGATAACTTATGGTGAAAAAAATCAACTTTGTAGATAGTGGCTTCTTCTGTCAAATATAAAAAATATGCCCATAATGCAACGATTGGTCTGTTCCCGAACTGCTAGAATCTACTACGAAAACGAATTTTCCTTTGTGATATCGAAGAAAATAAATTTGGGAGTAGTCATAATCCAATTAATCAAAACCATTTTTTAATCATAACCCATTATCCAATTAATCAAAATTTTTTTTTGTAATTTTCTCGGAATAATATTTTTAGTAGACCAAGCCGCTTTGTAATGATAACATTTATATTTAATTGTGAAATGTAGAATACAGCCTTAATAGCCTAGACAGACGACAGCCTTAATTTGCATTAACAGCCTTAATTTAAATTAACTTGTACATTATCCTCATTTTTATGTGTTGTAAATGCACAAAATCAAACTGAATTTATACTGAATTAAGCAATTTCAATATGGCAATGCTATAGAAAATAAATTGATTGTTGTCAAAATTGTTTACGTTTATGGAAATAAAAATTAGAAATAAAGGCAAAATACAACATTCCGTCGAAATGGGCGCTGTTTTATCGTAATTAGGAACTTTCGTCTGTCAGGGGTAAATATTAATTCAAATTAAGAATTTTTTAATGCAAATTAAGGCTGTCGTCTGTCTTTGGTATAAGATCCAAAGACTGGACAATAAAATAAATTAAATAAAAAAATAAAATCTAATTTGCAGAGTTAAATACGAATTTTTCGTTTTCTAGAGAGAAAAAAGCAAATAAACGAACAACATCCAGAAAAAAGATTGTATCGACACAGATGATTAAAACAACAAAATTGTTTCCTTGTAATAATTCGCAAATACTCAGTAACACAACTGTCAAATCTGCTCTCTCAATTTACTGGACTTTTGGGTAAACGAAGATTTTGTAATATTTTTTATACAAATTAATCAGTAAAAAGATTGTATCGACACAGATGATTAAAAGAACAAAATTGTTTCCTTGTAATAATTTGCAAATACTCAGTAACACAACTGTCAAATCTGCTCTCTCAATTTACTGGACTTTTAGGTAAACGAAGATTTTGTAATATTTTTTTATACAAATTATTGAGTAAACGAACAAACCTAATACCACATTTTAAATATTACTTTTTATTTTCAACTTGTTCTACAACAATTTTGCAATCGTTTGAATTTCTTTTCAGATTTTTAAGACCAATATTAAAGATATAGATTTGAAATTGTGGTGAGGTGAATAACAAAAAAGCAACTCTGTAGATAGTGGCTTTTTCTGTCAAATTTTATATCGTCATATTTCTCATGGTTGTCATAATCACAGGTCCCCTATACTACGGTACCTCCCATTTTCGGTATTTTGAAGATTTCAGAGAGGTTTTGACTATAATTATATATGTTTCATTGGGTGCCAAAATTAATCAACATCGTATCCTCGATTTTCGGTATTTTGAAAATTTCAGTCTGGTAAAGATATATAATTATATCTTTGCGTCTATTTGGATGCAAAAAATTTCTTCCAAAAAATCAGGCTGACCTTTGTTTTTACACAAAAGGGCTGAGGTGACAGACTTTGTTGTTGTTGTTGTAAGCCCTATTGCTTTTACACAATAGGCTAGACCCCTCTGTCGTGGAAACGTCCCCTCTTTGTGGCTTCACCTCTTTGTTTCTTCTCGCCCATAAGAAGTACCGATCAATTTTATATATTTTCAATGTGAAGGGTATACAAAATCCTGCCCGGTCGAATATAACCACTTATTAAAATTAATGGCAGAAAATGTGCTTTTGTATGTGGTGCATCATTAACGTGAAATCGGTTCTATTGGAAATTAAAACGTTTTAATTATTTTGCGCCCACTGTAGATTTAAAAAGGTAATGGCACTTTTAGATCTACAAAATCCTCTCGATCTCAAATGTCAATTCCATAGCGTCAAATATAATCCACTGGATTTGTTAACTGGATTAAGGTGAATTTGCGCTATGGAATTCACATTTGAGATCGAGGGGATTTAACAGTCTAAACGCGCTCTATAATTAGTACCTGAAATTACGAAATTACTCTGTTGAGAAAATGAATAAAAATTCAACTCTGTAGGGAAGTCTTATTATGTACCAAATCATGCCACAGATTGTATCGTTTACTTGGCATTTACAATTGCTACGGAATATTTTTTTTATTAAAAGCCATATTTTTAAATGACGACTTTTAATAATATATCACCAAAACACAACGTTAAAACATTCCCTGACAACAGGCACACTTCACAACTTTAGAATCACCCAGTGACCATTGTTTATGTATGCGGCTGACATTTTCGAGTAATCGATAACCAAATTAAATACAAAGAGAATCTCGTCGCGTCAAAACTTGAAGATTTCTGCAGTATTCTGTTCTGCTAGATTTATTTGTATTATAAAATAATACAATTATTTTATTTTAAATATTAGGGAATTATTTATTGAAAATGTATAGAAAATATTGATATATATTTACATTGCGTTAATTAAACTTGTGTGTGCATGTTTGCATCTGAAAAAAACCAAGACTTGTGTGTGTGTGATTGAACACAAGTTACGCGACAACAAGCCGCCGACAAATTCCATTGTTTTTTTATTGGGTAAGTACAATTGAATTTTTATACATTAAGATGGAAAAATAATCGTACACATTAAATAGACAACAAAAAATCTATATTTTATTTATGAGAGGATTTATGTTTCCCTGGTGTATTCCATTGCCTGTTTGTGTGTGCTAAATGTGCAGGGTACGCATACCAGTTTTCCGAGATGTGTAGGGAAATCATCAAGGTTGATATTTGTATGTACATATATGGTTCCATAAAGACGTTGGCTCCAATAAAGCCAGTATGCTGCAGCAGTCAAATTCAATATGTTCCTAAATGATACCATATTGTCATACCAACAGTTGGGTACCACAAATAGAGAATTTATTCTCCAGATTTATTAAAAAAAAATCTTTGTTGCAATTTTGGAAGACTGGTTATCTGTCAACATCAGCAATGAAATGGATACAGTATAAATCAACATATACTTTTCCATCTATTTTTGAAATCAAACGTTACGCATCTATGGAATTGCATGGCCTACGTCACACTGTGGTACAATTTATTATGCATTCGTACAGATATACATTTTGAGGATGTACTTTGAGTCGGTATGTGTGTGTCTAACCGTACGTCGCATTTATGAAATGAATCTGCACCTGGGGAAATGAATCTACATCAATTTAAACACCAATGCACACCCGATATCCCTTATGCACGTCCTTTGCGTATTTTATGACCAGACCACTAGTCTTCTGGAACATATTTAGGTGATCGAAAATTTGGTATTATGACGTATAGTTGGTCATAAGATCAAATTTTCGATCTGATTATGTTAAATAAGTGCTCTAAATAACGATTAATTTATAAAAAATCAGTTTTATGTGGTTTTACATAAAAAAGGCACGGTTTTAATCTCAAATTATTTTATCCTCTGAAATGCCTTATTTAGTTATGCCGAGAATTGGATAACAGGTTCCCAATGTCGGCACCATGTTTTATAATTATAATATTTTAATAAATAAAATTATTTTATATAACTTTTTCAATACTACACTGATGGAAATGTCCGATACTAATATTATTAATGAAAATATCAGAAAAATTAATTAAATAAATATTTTCTGTTTAACTAAAATACGACATGCCGACTATTGGAACATAACATGCCGACGATTGGAAAAAAGTGCCGACTATTGGCACAAAGGCACTGTTTTCCCTAATTATCAATTTAATCTACTTTAATACAAATTAATTAAACAAATTTGTATTGCATCGGAGATTAAACAAAATTTGGAAACATATGAACCTAAATACAATATAGTGAAAAAATGCTCTCGGGATGGTGAAACGTTTAAAATTCGAAAATCCTTAAAGTGCCGACTATTGATGCACTTACCCTATCTATCGTATATATAAATTTATTAAATTTGATTTAAATTTTCAACCAAAGAGACTACGTCGCTTTGTAATTGTGTAATTATCCTTTCAACTTATTTCTATAAAATAGGAATGTACGAATTATTTTTCTATCTTATGTCCGAAACTAAAAAAATCGGAAATAATGCATTTTTCTTGCGATTTCTTTAGGTATTTTTTCACAAGTTGACAAGTGAGTGAATGTGAGTCTGAGTAAATACGTCACATTTATATATCGCGCGTTCTTTTCTTTATTTTTTTGCGTGTGAATTTTGAAAGTATTTCAAGAAAAAGAAGAATTTATTTCTGTGAAATTTCGAAATCATAAACATCCATTATGGTGGATATTACACCTGGTGAGCCGGTACCACCCGGCTTTGAGGAAGAAATACTCAAGGCTCCACGTATTCAAAGTACAATCGATCAGTATAAAGCCAATGCTTTAATTGGTATCGAATATACCTTGGAATTGCATGAAAGTGATCGTCCCGAACCGGGTTACTTGTGTTTGTTGTGCGACAAACGTGGTGATGCCCGCACCATACTACACCATTGGACATCGTTTAATCATCGTATGAAATATTTGGAAAAACATTATCCTTCGTGTGTTCGTGAATTCCAACCGGTGAAGTATAAACCGAATTCCCACAATATTCTCATTGCCATAATACAAAGTATTGCCGAGGCTATTGAAGATTTTCATGGTCGTTTGAAAGTGAAAGCAATGGATGCCGATGAATTTCGTCGTCAGAAAACTAAGCATACCGAGGCAGTAATGTCATCGTTTCATCATGACGAACGAAATGGTCCGAATTTCTTAAATGCCATTGATCGGACATTGATTGATGTTAGAGGCAAATCAGATGGGTCAAGTAACCCCCCGTCTAAAGGCCATAAAAGAAATTCCCCCACAGAAAAGGCGCCACTAAAAAGAGATGAGTTTGATGCAATTTCCAGTGATTCGGATAATAATGATTCTGCAAAGAAACCCAAATTCCACAATAGGGGAGGAGGAGGAGGTAAACCCCCCACGTCCTATGCCAACGATGAGCCGCAAGACGACAAAGAAGAAAAGAAATTGCCCACTCCCAAAGAATTATCCCTGCAGGCATCTCATATTGCCCAAGAACGCTATAAGTGGGAAAAGTACCGCTGCATTTTGGAAATCCATTTAAAACAAGTTGAAAAATTGCAAAAAGACTATGAAAAATCCCCGGAGAAACATCCACAATATCCAGAAGAGTGGAAAAAGTTTTGGAATCGCCGTTACAAAGAATTGCAGGCTGAGAAAAAGGTCGATCCCAACAAATATGACTACAAACCGGAATGGATTGTTTTCTGGACGAAGCGAATGAAAGAACTCTTCAATGCTGATGTGGAAAAGAAGAAGAAAGAAATCAAAATTAAACTAGGTCTTCCCGAGGATGCTGAGGAAAAAGTTGATCAACTTAAGGAGCGTTATAAGGTGACTGTAAATCGTGTACAACGGCAGGTCGTATCGGATGTCATCGATATTAGCGATGAGGAAAGTCCAATTGGTCGTCGAAGACCACCGCCCAGACGTACTCGGTCGCGATCTCGATCTCGCTCACCGCGCGGTCGTTCACCACCACGTCGTGGTCGAGGTGGTGATTATCGTTATCGGTCGCGTTCACGTTCCAAATCACGTTCGTTAAGTCCATTCTCGGATGATTATGATCACATAAGTAGTAAACACCGTCATGCACCAAAACCACATCGTCCGACGGGGCCTCGTGGTTACAATCCCATAGATACACCTACGGACTATTATCAGTATGGTGGATCTTCACGTTATCCTCCAATGCCACATGGTGGTGTGGTTGGAGGTGGGGCACATTATCCCCCCGCCCATGCATCTGCGGGTCCATATCGCATTTTGGATTCAAGTAAAATACCCAAATATGAAGATACAACTACCCGGGATTCCAAAGAAGATGAGGCAAAGGAAGACGATGGTCCCCTATCGGTAGTTGGGGTTCTACGTCTCTTAACCGCTCTGGAAGAACATTTGGGTAGTCTCGGTCCCAAGGTCGTTGATCTGTTGGGCAAGGCATTGGCATTGGAAAAAGTGAAAGCCAATTCATCCGATGATCTTTTACTCAATGAAGATAATTGTGTATTTTTCGAAACCATCAAAGAAAAGCTAAAGGGTCTGTTAATTGCCGATGTTTTAGATGATGCACATAAAGTGCGTGCCGTCAAGAAAGCTATTAAAAATATTGCTGGCGTTATTTATCAAGTAACACAAGGTGAGTATAAACACACACACATTATGTGATTATTTGTGTAAGTATGCATAGCATATAAATAGAAATTTGTATTTTATGTATTTATAGAGTAGGGTATTTAAGAAGAAATTTAGGAAAGACTAAATTAGATTAATTTTTAAGTTTGGACATTTTTTAGATTTTAAATATTAGAAGTTTTTTAAGTAATTTGAAAACGCGCATTGTTCTTTGTGTTGTGTGAAAAATGTTTAAAAATATTAAATTGTGTTAAAGGTAAGACACATAAAATCAAATTGATTTATGGACGGCGGTTGTTCTGTTTTTAAAGTGTTGCGCATAGCACTTAATGTGTACTTTTTGTACGAAACGGATGTACAAAGTAATCCTACTTATTGGTATTTCAAAATTTTTTAGAGATATTCATGGATTTCATGGATAGTTTGGCCTTATTAGGCTTTATTGTTACATAATGAAATAAGAAATAAAATAAATAAATATCTAAAGTTCGAATTATGTGATCAATGACCTAATTGATGCTAGAAAATATATATGGAAGTAATTGTATTTAAAAAAATTAATATTTCATGATATTGATCAAAATTGCTATAATAAAAAGTAATCCAATATAGCACTGTTAAAAATTAATCTAAAAAAATATTTGTTAAAAATCCGCGCGTATCGAAAGCTTGCTTCATACTAAATTAAATCTAAAAAAATGATGTGTTTTAAGTTTCGTGAAAATCAAATCAGATTTACATATGCTCCCAAATATACAGTACTGCTCAAAACATTTGCAACCAAGTCATCTGCGGGACAAAACTCTTAATTTCATTGAAATAAAAAAAAATTGAAACAAAATTTTTAAATGCTAAAATATTAAGAATTATAAAATATTAATTTCATATCAACCAAAATTTCTTGTAAATTTTCAAAATAACGTAAAAACTCGTGTTTTTCTGTGTTCAAAACATTTGCAACTTAATTTTTTTGTTTAATGATTTCTGTCCATCTTCGTGCCATGGAGTTATACAGTGCTTTGTGTGTGTTATACAGTGCTTTGCGTGTGTGTCCTTTGGGATGTTATGCCCCTAATCATTCAGGGCAACATAAAAATTAAAATTTGCCAAAAGTTTCTCTATGTGATTTAGGTCTGGTGACTGACAGGTGTTTCACCAACATAGACGCGTGCTTGGTAATTGCCTCGTTGAAACACCCATGAAAGAGACATTTCCCAAGATGCATATGGCCAAATTACGTCAAATAAAATATTTTGGTAATTTTTTTGACCTTATAAAAGTTCAGTCTTTTGGAAAAAGAAAAAAGTTCAGTGTTTTGGAAGTTGCCAGATCGAAATAAAATTTAACATGTGTTCATAATAGAGATGGAAGTTTCCAATATACTTAACTTTTTTTCTGTTATACAGTGCTTTGTGTGTGTGGCCAGGTTTTCTTCCAAAAAAGTATAATCCAAAAACGATCATACACTAGGTACATCAAGCTTCTCGCATAAACAGTGTAATAGTAGTCCACAGTCCAACTATAGATTCAAAACGAAAGCTGCAACTAACAGCTGATGAAAATACAAACAAGAGCGATAGTACACAGAACTTTAATAATAGAAAAACTTGAAACAGATCAATCAAAGATTTTAAGTATATCGACTTAATCCGACTTACGATCTCCGGGTTGTGATGGTAGTCAAATAAACGTGAACGATATAAATGACTTCTTTGTTCAGTCTGGATCTGTTCCAACTGCCGACAGAGTAGAATTATCTGGGTATTTGGGTGAACAAACTTCTTTTTCCTTTGATTGTATCTTTGAGGAGGATATTTTCAATGCATTAAATTCCATAAAATCTCAATCTTTGGGAACTGATGGAGTTCCAATAAAGTTTATAAAAATCATATATCCTTATCTGTCTAATTATTTGCTTCATTTTTATAATACCATTTTTACAACGTCGATTTTCCCTACAGCATGGAAGGTCGCTCGTGTAGTACCTATACCTAAAGCAAAAGGTTCTTTCTCAGTAGATAACTTGCGTCCAATAAGCATTCTACCTTCACTTTCTAAAATCTTTGAACATCTAATGAAAAGACAAGTATTAGATTTTATTGGAAACCAAAAATTGTTAAATTCCTTTCAATATGGATTTAGACGTGGATATAGCACAGTATCTCACCTGTTGCATCTTACTGAAACAATTAGAGAGGCCGTAGATGCAGGCGATAATGGTGTTTTGATTTCGTTGGATCTGTCCAAAGCTTTTGATAGGGTGGACTATGCTACTTTGATTCAAAAATTACGTTATAGATTTTTCTTTGATGATACAGCCTGCAGGCTTATTTTCTCTTACTTAAATGGTCGCTCTCAGTTTGTGGATTTCAACGGAGTAGTATCGAGTGTTCGTTATGTTAGTAGTGGTGTTCCGCAAGGCTCTGTTCTTGGTCCATTGCTTTTCATTTTATACATCAACGATATTAATGATTCAATTGATTTAAATATATGTTCTCCATTTATATATGCTGATGATATACAATTATTTTTTCGATCACCTAGTGATGTTGATTTACTACTGCCTGCAATTAATTCAACGTTGAATACAGTGGGCCAATGGATGGAGCTGAATAATTTTATTGTTAATACCGACAAAACGAAGTCAATGCTATTTGGATCAATTCGACAGAGTGGTAATTCTTTTACAATGCATATCAATGGAAATATTGTTGAAGTAGTTGATATGATAAAATGTCTGGGTTTGTATATTGATTACAAACATGATTTTAGTTCTCATATTGACTCTTTATTTCCCAGAGTCATATCTATTTTGCGTAGACTACACTGTACAACTTATTACTTGCCCTTTTTTGTAAGAAGACAACTTGCACATGCATTATTGATGTCTGTCATTACATATGGCATTGAAATTATATCTGGCACTAGTCAATTATGTTTTGTTTATCGATTAAATTATCGTGATCACGTTCCCAACTATGTTACGGAGTTCCTTGGAGTGCCTTTTCAATCTTTTGTAAATGCACGAGTTATGGTATGTTTTTATAAAATAGTAAAAACTGCGATTCCAGAGATGGTTCACACAAAGTTCACATTTTCTCGATCTACACGAAATCCGCAAGTTCTCCTTCCTCGCTTTGGGTCATTAATCTATGATAGATCGTTTGTCGTTCGAGTAGCTAGGTTGTGGAATAACCTACCAAATAGTTTGCGCAATTTTGCCAGTTCGTCTTATACATTTAAGCAACATTATTTATTGTACCTTCGTCAATAAAGTTAATTTGATTCATTAGTATGGGTGTAATTATCAACAAATTATGGGTATTTCCTCAAATTTTCCTATTTTCTTTGGCTGGGGAGCCAAGTTTAATTTATATCATATATATCTTTGTTAAATTGTAATTAATATGAATTTAGAATATAAAATATGTTTCTTGCTTGGTCATGTATATATGCTAAAAACTTGTACTTAAAATGATGTCGACTTTGGTCTAAAAGACTTATTGGCATTAGAATGTATGAAAAATAAATAAATAAAATAAATAAGGCGTATGTAGTGACGAAAACTGCAAAACGGAGGCAAAGAATTTCCGGAACCAAAACTGCTTCCAGGTGATGAAGCGAATTAATTTCTTGAATAGCTCTTCCTCAGTGGATTTCAGGATTGTCATAAGATTGTTGTGTTGAAAAAAAGGGTGGTATAAGCGGTTCTTAATTGATTATATCTTGGGCAAGTAAAATGCAGTGCTTCATGTCTTCAGGAACACCGCATAAATCGCATTGCCAGGAATCACTGGCACCTATACAATGTAGATCGACTTTGCAATACGAATGTCCCGTCATGAGCCTGTTAATTAATTTTGTGTCCTCCGGGCTCAAATTGATTTTGCAATACCACGGTTTACTATACACATCGGCACAGAATTGGGAAAAGAATCTGCCTTCAGTCAAGGAAACTGTCTGAAACTCTTTATTCCACATGTCCTTTACTCTCCTTTCTATTTGTTTTATTGCCTCCTTCGTATTCAGCTATGCCACAATTGGTGTTCCTGCATCCACCGCTTGCTTTGCCAAAAATCCACAACTTCATTAAATAGTATGACTTTATGACTCGGAGTCCAAACCACATCACATCTGTACGCATTTGTTCTCCTCAAGAAATTGTAACATTCAGCAACCTGATAATTGTCAGAGCTTCCAGAGCCTAGAGCCTTACAGGCCGGCCGCAAGGCTGTCTGTAAAGATGACCAGATTGCCATAACCATCCTCTTCCGCAATTTCAAGGCCTTTTTGATAGCATAAAGTTCGCTGAACATGGACGAGGACTTAATGCCCAACTTAGAAACTTGTCCTTAATGGACACATTGTATACACCACACCCTGTGGCCTCACGCCCAACGAAGCATCAGTGGCAAAAATGGTGAAGTCATTACATCTGTAGTATTCCATCTCGTGTGGCACGTATTTCATTCTGCTTCGTACATGTTAAAATATTTGTTCTAATAGTCAATTTATCCTGATATTTATATGAACTTATTCTGATCTTTTGGAAAATGTCGTCAAACTCGTAAAATATTGCACTATAACTGGATTTAACTCGTGGGTTATCCGCTACTATCTCATATAATCTCTCATTGTTTTATGTATTTCTAATAATGTCTATGGCTGTTAGACCTTTGCTCGATATTTGGGGGGTATCTTCAGCTAGGGCATACCTCACATGAATCGGTGAAGTGGTCGTAACTCCCAAAGATCATCTCATTCATTGATATACGCCGGCGCATTGGCCGTTGTCGTCCTGCCATACACAACCTTCGCTCTTATAAAACTCTTATTACTGTTCATGGCCAGTTTCGGGCGCTTTTTATGCCAGGTTAAGAACTTCCCGAACTGTCCTCGTATATTAATTTGTCAGACACGCTATGTATATAAACTTTCCAGAAAATAGTATTCGTACATTTCAATATTCAATGTTTAAATCACGAGTTTCCAATCCTTTTTTATATATTTTATAATTGACAAATATTACCAATAAACAACAGCCACCTTTCGCGATATCAACAAAGTCATTTTGACCGAAAGTGAGCTCAGTTGTATACGTATATATATATATATTTTATTGATTATTCTTACTAAAAATAATATTAAAAATACACTACACATTGTTAAGTAAATTTCGTTCCAAGCATTGATTCTGATATTAAAAAGGTGCGCCATAATATCACAACCATTTACTATGAAATGTATTTACTAGTGCAAAATACTGTTTCGTTGTACACGGATATAGAGAACTAATCTTATTTATTTTTGTGATACCAAAAAGTTAAATGTTAATCCATTCAATGATTGTATCTGTAAGAAGAAGTGTTAATAACTATAAAAAGAAGAAATATGAGCACTACAAAATTATTAGTTAAAAAGAAATATTTAAAAGTGTTAACAAACTCAATAAAGAAAAGGAGCTTTTTTCATACAACAAACTACATAAGTAGACATTATTACAAAAATAATTATCTCTTTTTTGTTTAAATCTCATTTTAATAATACTACGTTTATTTATTTGTTATATTTTCCCCGAAAAAAAAAACAAAATTATAAATATAGGTAACACAAACGATGAGGTCAAGGAAGATAAATCGTACGATTCAACAAGTGGCGGCGGTGGCGGCGCTGCAATTCCCTCTACAATTGCCGGTAAAAATAAACTCAATGCTAAAGTAAATATCAAAGACTTGCCGTTTGATCGTCAAATGGTTGCCACCAAAATGGCTGCTGCATTGGTAATGCAAGGTCGCGAGGATGTCTCCACCGATGACATGGATAAGTTAATATATTTCTTTTTGTTAATGGTAAAATTATCGAAATCAAAACGTGAACTTGATGGTAAGCCGTTATATTCGAAAAATGTACTCTCCGAATTGGGTCTTATGCCCCTAATTAGTGCACAAAGCAGTAGTTCCGCTGGCATAATAGATATTGGCCACATTGAAACGGACAGCAGATCATCTTTCAGACCACCCTCATCGATACGTAGCGATTTCAGTAAAGACATTTCGGTGGAAAAAGAAACACCGAAAAATGATGCCAATGCCAGTACCTTGGAGTCGCTGACGGACTCTGATTTACAGACACTATTGCAAAACTTTAAACATTTATCTAGTGAAGAGCAGCATCATCTTATTGCCCATTTGAAGAAATTGGAATCTGTGGATCCACTACGTGTCGAGAAACTACGAAAATATGTAAACACTTCGGATATAGCCCCTGAACCGATGCCCAGTACAAGTAAAGCATCCTCTTCTGATAGCCTAGATGATGGTGGTATGGAACAGAAATCAAATTACTATTCGCCAAATACTAACAACGATTCACCTTTTTCAGCGATGGGTAAAGATCAGGACAAACACCGTCGTGTTCGATCGCCGCCTAGCCATGACATTGATGAACGGGCTAGAAATTCCGTTAATCCCAACAAATTTAGTTTGGATGATGATGACGATGATGATTATAATTTCGATGAAGTTTTTAAGGCAGCATCGCGAAATATAAATCCCGGCGGCGGTGGAACACCCGATGAAACATCGCGGCACTCAATGAATGATGCTTCTGGTAAATCCACAGGCAAATCCAGCAAAGATCACATTGTCTCTTTGGCATCTCAAAATGATTTGACATTTAATCCGGCTGGTCTCAAAGATCCACTGAGTGATACACAAAATCTTATTGCCAATTTAATGGGTTCACTGCAACAGAGCAATTCGAAATCGGCCAGCACCCTGCCGCAACCAGTTCCTCCCGTCGATGGTGGTGGCCAAAAACCAAAAATGCCACCACAAAATAAACAGCAGCAACAACCACCGCCACCACCTGCGCAACAACAGCATAACAATATGGCATACTATCAGCAGCAACAGCAGCCATCTCACCATCAAGGCGTCGGTGGTTATCCCGATATGCAACATGCTGGTGGTGGTTACAATCAAATGCCACCAAATTACTATAATCCCCCCGCCATGGGTTATAATCAAAATCCATATGGTGGTGGTCCACCGGCACCTGGCTACCCACCCCAACAGCAACAACCATGGGCCCCCGATCCCCATCAACAACAAATACCCGGCCATCCAAATATGCAATTCTTTGGTATGCCGAATTATGGTGGGGGTTATTATGGACAAGGTGGTAATTAAAAAAAACATTTTTGTTTAAAATTTAAAAAAATACAATTTTTGACTATTTTAATTTTTTATTATTTTTTTCATTTAGTTTTATAAACTATTTTTTATTCTTTTTGTTTAAAATAAAACAAGACAAATACATTAATAATAAATAATTATTATATATGAATTCATTGAATTCGTAATGCGATGCAAAACAGAAAAACAAATATGTATGTACATATATATATAAATAATAATATATACAAAAATAAACTACTACTCATTTTCCATAAGATAATTTTATCTTAAAAAACAATAACACACCGCATGTGTAGATTTAAAAATAATTTCTTTTCTTGTATGTATTTATGACCATTCAGCAGGTATGTATATTGAATATGTTTTGGAAGGCATTTTTATATTGGACAAAAATAAATTGAATCGATTTAGAAATTATTATTTAAAAAATATTGTCTAATATTATCAAGTTCTGGCTTAGTAATTATCTCAATGGTAATAAGCTCGATGTAAATATGCCCTAAACGTCATTTAATACATATGATCTGTTCCCGTACTGCTAGAATCTACTAGTTTTTACTTTTTATTTCGATATACATGTAAAAGAAAATGTGTTAACCTAGAAAGAAGTATTCGATTCTTGCAGTACGGGAACAGACCAATCCATGGTACAATTATAAAAGGCAAGTCCCAGCTGATTTGATTCCAACGTAATACTAGTGTCAATATGAATTTCACAAATTATATTTTTAAAAATCACCCAAAAGGAAAATTGTGAACGCATACAATTCGAAATTGTTCTTTATTAAATGTCCTCCCGTATTCATTTTACTAATGCCATGTTCTGACGGGCATTCGAACAACGTAGTTCGCTCTCAGAATTACGTACATGAATTAACCCGTTCATACAACACTATTCTTAATACATGTCATCAGAGTTTTTTATTTCAAACTTTTTGTTTCTTGTTTTACACCAAAATTCTAACATATTCGCATGAAACGCATATGGATCTAAATAGAAAAAATAATTCTCTTTCTCCTGACTATAATATCAGCCCCTATCTCTTTACTTTTAATTCATGTTTTCCATTTTTTTGAAAATATTGTTGTTTTCAATAAATTTTTATATTTTCTCAACTCAAATGTCACATATGTATATGTAAATAAAAATTTGGAGAATTTTTTGTTTGGGTTTCTCCACTTTTGTTTTTCGTTTTGTACGCTAATTAGAACCAATGGGAAAGAAATGCATATTGCATTATGTATACAACAAAATTTACATCCTTCTGCATATATAAAAACTAGAATTTTGATTACTTTTCATTCATCATTTTCAATTTTACTGAAAAAGTTTGAAAAATTTTTTCATGATGTCAAAATTAATTTATTTTCGATAAATTCTTTCATTTGTTAGAGATGGGACAAAATTCTTGGTTATTCAGAGAGTGATTCGAATAGAACAACGTACAAAAGTCGATGTTCGCTCAGACAATTTTGTATGGGGAACTAAGTAATTACTTCATGATTAGGGGTCGAACAACGAATGAGAGAGCGAACAACGCTCGTCTGTACATGGCATAAATCTGCCTGTTGGAAAAGTTTGAGGAAGCAAATCTTTCTTCATTGAATAACTCCCAATTCCCTGCATTTTCATATGTGTTACACATATAAGTGGCAATGGCTCAATTATAGGAAAGATGTGGAAGCGATAGAAATATAAATTTGATAGATTTTCATTCATGTTTTTCAAATTTTATTTTAGGGATTCGAAAATATTTTATTTTCAAAATAAATATAATTTATTTGTTTGTTTACATTTTTCTGTCAAAATACGTTGACACTAGTATAACTTACACAAACATATTTCCATGTGGTTGTTGTATCGTTTGTTGTACCACAACACTTGTTGTTACCTTCTATTATTATACCATGAGACCATGGCCTATAAATAAGGTCACCAAGGGAGACCAGCTGATTATCGATACCTCTCAAGTTTGCTGTCAAAATGCATTATTGTGAATTGACTCCCATTATGAAAACGTAAACAAAGTCGAAATTTTTGACATTAGACTTGAGAAAAAACAGCTGTTTTCCGATTTCGATTGCTATCTTGGTGACCTTATTAATAGATCTTGCATGAGACCAATCGTTGGCAAATTTATTATTTAAAAGTCGAGCTATATAACTCTAAATAATACAATCGATTTGGGTATCAGCTGTTTTTCGATAAATCGAAAAAATCTTTCTCGTTCATTTACACAAAAGGAACTAGTTCCATCTCTATCGTATTTTTTTGTTAATATATAAATTTCTTACAGAATTTTTAACATTTTACAGTATAACACAAAGATTCTTCAATTACACACACACACACCTTAAAAACAAACCGACGACATGAATTAAACTGGGCAATGTGAACTAAAGTGAATGAACTGGAAATAATTCCGTTCGTTCATTTCCCAAAGTCGTTCCATTGAACAGTTCGCTCCGGGACGACACTGCTGTAGTGAAATTGGCCAAAACGGAAGACATTTGCTCTGTTCCATCTGTTCCAGAACCTGAAAGAGGTTAAAAGATTTATAAGTTTTTGTGTACGGGAGCAGACAAATTAACTCATCACCTTTCATTTAACCAACGTATAAATGGAGGATCCAACTGACACTTTAATTGACACCACCGCAACAACATTGACGAAGCTATCCATTGAAGATGTACAGGCGAAACACCGCAAGGAGCGCAAAGAACTTCAGGCTAAAATCCAAGAATTAAAGAAAAATGCACCCAAGTCCGATAAAAAGAAACGAAAAGAGGTGCTGGAAGAAACTGCCAAATTGGAAGCAAATCTGGAGGCAAGACAAGCCGAAGAATTGAAAAAAGCTGAAGCCGAAATCAATGCCAATACTGCAGCCGAATGTAACGAAAAGAGCCCGGTGGACAATAATAAACAACCTCAACAACGCATATCGAAGGCACAAAAACGTAGGGATAAAAAATCACGCGAAGCACGTCAACGGGAAGAAGAAATAAAGGCTGCTGTCAAAGAGACGGTCTTTGCACCCAAGGCTGTTGAATATCGTAAACTGGTGGATAAGTTGGAAAAACGCAACTTGGCTCTGCACGACATCCCCTCGGATGGTGATTGTCTCTATAATGCAGTGCGTCATCAGCTACAGCAACACGGTTTGGGATCGCACAATATCCAAGAGCTTCGTCATGAGACTGCCAATTATATACACGCCAACAAAGATACGCTTTTACCCTATATGACAAATCCCCAGACTGGTGATTTGTTAAACGATGCGGAATTTGAAAAATATTGTGATGATGTACGCAATACGGCAGCCTGGGGTGGACAAATCGAATTAAAAGCTCTATCGACAATTCTCAAAGTACCAATTGAAGTAATACAAGCAGATGGCTCACCCACTATCCAAGGAGCAGAAGAATTTGGTGGTGCACCATTGATAATAACCTATCATCGTCATATGTATAGTCAGGGTGAACATTATAATTCGACGGTGGAATTGACAGGATGGGAGGGTGAAGAAAATGATGAAAATTAGACAAAAGGAAGGAAGGAAGAAAGCAAATGACATTATGTGGTATGCATGCGTATGACCATAAATGAGTCTTATATATGCAGAATCACGACTAATACAACTAAACGATGAATTTAATGCATTTAATCATAAAACAACAACAATAACAACACAAAATTTGATATTGATTTTATCTTTCAAAATAAAAGCAAACACATTTATTTGGTGTGTATATATCTCACCTTAGATGCAATTTTAAAGAAATTTCGAAATCATGGGTGGGCGAACGGTCGGTTCATGGATTTAAATTTAAAAACTAATGTGTAAAAAATAAATAATAAAAAATACAAATTATAATAAGTATACAAATAAAAAGAATTTCGTGCAAATCGAAGGATATGTAGGGACTATGGTGCACCATTTATATAAAATCGGACGAAAATATATATGGGAGCTATATATAAATCTGAACCGATATTCACGAAATTTAACACACATCTTTCTAGTCTTAATTCAGTACGCTGTGCAAAATTTCATTCAAATCGGAGGATATATAGCGACTTTGGTGCACCATTTACCTTAAATCGTACGAAAATATATATGGGAGCTATATATAAATCTGTACCGATTTTTCTTAATTTAAATAGGGTTCGTCCTTGGGCCAAATAAATGGGCTGTGCCAAATTTCATCCAATTCGAATCAAAAATGCGACATGCATTTTGTTTACAATTTAACATGGACATACGGACGGACGGATATGCATAAATCGACTCAGAAAGGGATTCTATATAAATATTCTCAAAAGAAACCATGTGTCTATCTCGTTTTCATTTGCCTGTTACATATGCACAAAGAAATAATACCTTGACCACAGTGTAGTGAAGGGTATAAAAAGGGACCTATATTGAATATTTTCTGCGGATATGTTGGAATGCTGTGAGTCAATACACAAGATGTCAATGTATTATCTGCTTGGGTAGGGTGACGTCTAACATGTCATGCCTGAATCCTCGTATGTGTTTCCTCTTTAGATCCTCCTTCACATTAAAACTCATTTTTTAATTTTTTTTGTTTTTTTTTTTTTTTTAAATTTACTATTTTCTACTACATAAATCCTTAACTATAGAAGTATGTATATATATGACGCCATATCATTAGTATTTTATTTGTATATGCTATACATATGGATTTACATTGTATTTAGTATTTGATGTTAGAAAAATATAGTTTTGTTTTCATTTGACATTTTTATTTTTTTTTTCAATAGAGAGATTCGATAAATGTTTCTAATAACGGAAAATGAAAGTGGATATTTTTGTTTGTGTTTCAAAAATAAATTTTAATAAAAATGTTTTTTTTTTTTTATTACAAATACTGTTTAATCTATGTGAAACAAACACACACACACCTTAAACATTCCGCTGAAAGAGTTGCTTTTGTGTTTTGTTAAAACCTAATTAATGTGAATAAAAAAAAGATGAAATAATTTTTTTATATGATGATTTAAAAAAACGTGTAATGCAAGTATTTTAGTTCACATAGTCTTTTCTAAAAAAATAACAATAGAAAGAAAATACCAAAAACTCTTACAACATACATATGCGATATGCATGTTCATGATTCATTTAATCGGGCATATCAATACTTATTATGGGTACCACCGGTTTCATGCTATCATTTTTAGCTGATTTTTTACTCTTCTTCATGTGCTTGTCGAAATCACCCAAATGGGCTGTACTCGATGATGATGAACTACCATCCAGTGGCTGTGATTGTTGGGCATTGCTGCTGCTTTCAGCATGATAGGAAATATTACCATATTCTTGTAGAAAAGGCATGGCCGACAATAGGAATTGACTGAAGGATTTGCGTATTCCAAACCACCATTTATTGCCACCCTTAGCACTAAAGCTGAGAACAATCAGGGCAAAGATGGAGGCCAGTAGGGGCGAGAAAATCACAATGTATGGGAATTTCAGTTCACCCTCAAGTTTATCGCAGATTACAACCTGTAACGAAGATCAAGATTTGTTTCAATTAATTTTTGTTTTCTAACGATAATGGAAATTATAAATTTTGATTTTAACGCAATATTTTTTGTTTTAATATTTGATAGCCTGTTCGCGGGTTACTTTTTATGTTTTTCCACAAGTAACCATATCACTATTTTGAAAGGCCATAATCACAAAAACTCCTCAAATTTCGAAATTTGGGAAGTATTGTTATATAAGCGTTACCCTAAAGATAGACCATCGTTGATAATATTTGGTAGGGGAATTTATTACTCAATGATAATCCATAATATCAAATTACAGTCAATTCGGTTGAAAAACTAGCCCAAAATACCGAATAATAGGAGTGGTTCTCCGAATATATTACAGTTTAAAATTATATTTTTTCAAAATATTTTTTTCCAATTTTCTTGCATAGTGGTTCTCCGAATATATAACCCTTAAAAATTATATTTTTTTCAAAATAATGTTTCTCTCCAAATTTCTTGTCCAAAAATTAGGAATAAAATGTTATCGAAAAAGTGAACAATAATGTCATTGACCATTGGCTTCAGTCGTTCACACAACACACTGGATAGCACTGTATATGTGATTGGAAGAATACTAATTCCACTATAGTTGGCACATATCGTCTTGTCTCCTTTTTTTGTGCACGGGACACAGGATGCTAAGGTTCCAATTATTGGGCATGCATTCCTCTAGCCAAATTGTACTAATTAGCTGGTGCATGCCCCTGACAAGCATCTGGCCACCAGTCTTGAATATTTCGGCTGGTAATACATCGGCTCCTGCTGCTTTATTGTTCTTCAGCCGATTGTTATTCTGGCCTCATCTTGGCTAGGTGGTATACACTCTATACCGTCATCTCTTATTGGTTTTGGGGTATCTTCTTCACCGTCACTATTTGATTCCAGAAGCTTTTTCCGAATATTATATTAAAAAAAGAAGATCTGTTCACAACTGAAGGTCTGAAATGTTGGTACGAAATTTGGCCACCATATAAAACAATTCTATTTGCACTGTTTGATACTAAACACAATAACAATATTCAAAGGTAACTACTGAATCTCTATATCTCAGGAAGTTTGTACTTTGTCCATAAGATTATTACATTTCAATGGCTTTTAAATGATACCCATATTGCCTTCGAATATAAAAGGTTATATTGTTGTTATCAGGGCTTTAAGGGTAAAAATTTTGAAACAATTCGCGGCTTGGCCCTAAGCTAGTCTTGTTCCCATATTCACCCTTATTACAGTAGGCGTAGTCGTAGTACAGCAGATGTCGTACGCGTCAACAGAATCTTGAAAGACAAATTTAGCGTATTGTAACGACTTTCATAATACCGATTTGTCATATATGTGCAACAGGGTCCACCACATCGCCAACCGTAATGAGGGTGATTATTTTCTTTTCTAAGTAGTCTCAATTCTTAGTCAAATTTGTATGTTGGTAGGCACCAACCAGTCTGGGACTTCTTCGCACGATTTGTAAACCGGAATATACAATTTTGTAAACAGGGCTCTTAGCTATATGTGGTAAAAAGTTCAAAATGAACCGCGGTTTCATCGATTTTATTTCTATATTTCCGTTTTCAAACATACCTGAAAAAATAAAAGCGGCAGTACTGTACAAACATTACCCACAGCTGCATTTAATGCGGCCTTTTTCTGTTGCAATGAAATCTCTGGGGTCCTCATCATAATACCACAAAATATAATATTGTAGAGAACACCTAAAAATAACATTGATAAATTAGACATTTCGAAAAAAAAATCATCACAGCTAATAATGGTTCACTCCTCTCATATAATACTCACTAACTAAGCTCAAACAAATCACAATCCACATTGGTACAAATACCACCTCCCAATTCCATGTTACAAATTGATCCAATTTCAATGGCAAGGATACAAATTGTAATGCATTGACGGCCAAAAACAATTCCAGCTCAAATGAACGATCATGTTTTACAGCCCAGACACAGGCACCAACGCTGGCCACCGAACCAAATATCAAGGGAATGAATACCAATACCCAGAGGTGGCGTTTTGAGGTGAGATTGTCACAGGCCAGCAATTCGAACATCAATAGGATTAGGTGGAGAGATAATGATATTAGCATGGCCTTAAATTGTGTATAGGAATCACCTTCAAGTCTGCAAATTGCCATAAGAAATAAATTAAAATATTCTCCTTTTAAATTTATTAAACTTACCTGTAGTGAGGATAACGGCACCATACTATTGCACCAATGGTAGCACCCAATGCTGCTATTGCCTTCCATATCCACAGTGGTGTAAAAATGAAATACCAAGGCCAATCGATGTAACCATCTAAGCGTAATGCAAACAACGTCACAAATGTAAATAAACTGCAGTGTACAATGAATTTGCTGCAAGCATAGAAACGCACACACACACGCGAACCCCGAGAAATATGTCATCCAAAAATACAATTTACAATTGACTAATAATGCAACCATATGCTTGCTTACCTGGGATTAAAATCTCTAAATAAGGATTGCAGATTCATTTTCCCCGCAACACATTCGGAGAGAGCACAGACGAAACAGGATCAGGATTATTTGTAAAATCACCTTGGTGGAACCACCGACCGAGCAACAAGTTTTCTCTTTTTCCACTTGAAATATTTATGAATATTGGGCGCTACTTGCAGCTTATGTAGTCAGGTTGGCCATTGATATGTTCGGCATTATTGTAAGGTACACAAAATGGTAGGAATTTTCATAAAAGTTTCACAATATGTTGCAGATTTTTTAGTTTTTTTTTCTTCTTTTCAAGATACTACACTATCCTAGCAATAAGCAAGCAGCATTAAGTAAGTATCATGGAAATGAAAATGTCGCACCTAGTCGAAAAACGTTTCGTATTTTGTGAATAGCAGGAGATACAGCGCAGAATGCCGATAAAGACCAGATGGAAACAAACCAAAAAAAAAAGAAAGGCACCCGTCTCGTATTTACGAATGAGTGAGAAGCATAAAGCCGTGGCAACCGTTTGTTTAGAATGAGACATAATAAAATGGTAACCAGCTGATTGAATACGAATGGAATAGAACAATCAAGAGAAAAATAACAGTCGCATTTCGAAAAATGTCAAGTTTAAGGTTACGGAACATTTTGAAATTTTTACCACAGATAGTCATAAGGATTCGGAGAAATGCACCTCCGCAGGGACCCTAGTATTTTCCACAGTTCCAAACATTTTCAAAGGCAATAAGAGGTTGAAGTCCTGACTACAAAAATGTAATTATCTTATTGAATAAGCCCCGAGGGAGTTGTTAGTCTCCTATCGGACGCGTCCCCAGGTGGCGGATAGGGCGGAGGTGGGTGATCATATTAATCTATTACAACCAGTGTATGTTGTAGGTATTGGAATAGTTTGATAACCCACCTTCATGGCTTCTGTTACCGCGGACCAAAACTAACTATGGGGTGTTACCCCCCAGATTCACCCCCACCCCCCAGATTCTTTATAAATTATTTTAAGGTTCTTAAAAAATATTCTTTAAACAAATTCAATAGACCAACTTCAGCCTTTTCGATAACCGATAACATGTCTTATGAATTGTTATAGAATATATTTCAAAGTGTGAACACCCCTAATGATTTGATTATCACATGAAACAGCTGACCAAAAGGCGGTTAAATGTAGCCTTTTATTCACATCTTACCACATTCCATAAGAAGAAATAACATAAAAATTAATATTTAATGGCAAACAACGGCGATATAAATGAAAGTGATTGCTGTGGAAATGGCTGTGCCAATTGTGTCCTTGATATGCCGGTGAAACAACCCAAAATCCGTGATAAAACTGGAAAAGAAAATGTGCTACTCCATTATACGCCCTTTCGTTTAGTAGAAAAGAAATCCCATTTTATTGGTGGTAATATTTGGCAATTCCATTTCAAGTCTGTGTTAGCCGAAATCTCAAAATCTTATATATTTGATATGAATCCTGGTTATCACTTAATGTTACGTGTCCCCGAAGGATGTGTGGTTGAAAACGACGATGAAAGGAAACGGAAATATTTATTGCGGCCTTATTCACCATACTGGTGGGATGTGCAGAAAATGGAATTTAAAATACTCGTTAACTTAAAATATCAAGGACCAATGTCTAGTGTTCTGAGGAACTTGGAAATTGACAATGAAATGGAATTTCGTGGACCCATAGGCAAATTTGAATATTCCCCAGATACTAAAGGTGATAATATCATGCTGATAATAAATCAAGGGGTGGCCATTGCTGCCACAATACCAATTATTGAAAATATTCTACAAAATGATGATGATCTAACAAGATTAATACATATATCCTGTTACGAGAATGTCCAACAAATATATTTTCGACAAGAAATTTATGATTTTCAAAAATATTGGAATTATATGGGTCACATATATGTGGCCCACGAATTGTGTGACGAATGTAAAGCGCATACGACAGCGACGACATGCTCCAATGAATGTCACATTTTTAAAAGTAAACTGAAATACAAAGAAGCAATACATCCACGACGACTGGATGACAATGAACTGGAAATAATATTAAATGGTTTTAAGGAAAATGAATTCGCAAACCTGCAAGTGGTATTGGCTGGTACGGGAAATTTTCAAAAACATTTTAAAAATTTACTATTAAATGATTTTTATCATATAAATGAAAATAATATTTATTTATTATAAAAAAAAAACATAAATAATACAACTTTTAATGAAATACTCGGTATATTTATATACTCGTTATTTATACTGTACAACTTTTTGTTTTAATTAATTAATTGTTTAATCTGTTTGGTATTTGGTATATCTCTTCGGCTAGTATCATCGTTTTTTAATTCGTAATGTCTAAGTGCATCCAAGTACCGTCGCAATGGTGATACTTGTCATTGTTTGTGGGAATTACAATTATGATTATTATGACCAGCCGATATAAATGGCGAGAGCAATTCCATTGGTAATGGAAAGATAATTGTGGAATTCTTTTCTGCCGATATGTTAACCAAGGTTTGTAGGTAACGTAACTGTAAATGTGAAAAAAAAGTTTTTATTAATTTTAAAGTAATATGAATAAAAAAAATTAACTGTACCTGTAAAGCTGATGGACTGGAGGAAATAATTTCCGAAGCCTCTTTTAATGCCCGGGATGATTTCATTTCACCCTCTGCTGCAATTACTTTGGCACGGGCCTCACGAGCGGCCTCTGCTTCCGCAGCCATGGCTCGTTGTAGGGCAGTGGGTAGTGATACGTCCTTACTGTTAAATATGAGAAGAAAATATTACAAATTTTTTTTTTCATAAATCTTAACCATATTTATTAAAATATTTGATTCCAACGGATTCGAGTAAATTTAAAGTTAACTCCCAATTTCGGTATTCTTCAACCGAAATGGCTATAATTTGATATTTTGAATTTTCATAGCTTATCAAATCTTCTTACGAAAAATTATCAATATTGTCCCATGTTTCAAGGTAGATCCTCCAATATTTCGGTATATTGGGCATGTTTTCCAACGAGTTGGATATTTTTTAGTTTTCTGGTTCTTATTCCTACCTTCCTACAAATACTTTTTAATATTGGCCTATGTTTCATAGTAGCATCAATATTACGCAACCCCCTAATATTCGGTTGTTTGGGCCCAATTTCCAGCCAAGTTGACTGTATAAAATTTTTCTGGCAAAGATTTATTATTCTCGGGAAGTATTTTTTGGAGAATTTGCCATGTTTTTCAATCGAATTGACTGAATATATTTTGGATTCTTATTGGATACAAAATTTTTCTAAGTCCTTTTGGGTTCTCATTGGCTATCATATAACGGTACCCCACATTTTTTGGAATTTTTTTGATTTTAGCCACGTTTAACAAATCGAGTATCTCACTCGAATTAGTTCCTGCCAACTTCTTTCGAAAAAATGTCCACGTTAAAATATTATTAACAAAACTGACTTACATTTCAACACGTTCCACCTTAACACCCCATGGATCGGTGGCCTCATCCAATGACATTTGCATGGTGTGAGATATTGTCTCACGTTCGGTTAACAATTCCGATAGATTTCTTGTACCCAAGACATTTCGTAATGTGGTAGCGGCCAGCAAACGTGTGGAATGACTATAATTCGAGACTTGTATAACCGATTTTAGAGGATCACTAATGCGATAATACACGACAGCATCTACAGTTACTGTTACCGAATCCTTCGATAGAACTTCCTGGGGTGGTACATCAAATGATACGGTTCTCAAATCAACTTTACAATAATCGTCGACGCAGGGTAAGACAAAAAATACACCGGGACCTTAAATAAAAAATTAAATTTGTAATTTTTTATAACTTAATATATTGCAAATTGCATTACCTCTTGCTCCACCACTACGTAAACGACCCATACGAAATATTACAGCTCTTTCATATTCTGACACCACTTTAAAGCAAATGAATACCGAAATGGGAAATGTCAGGACCATAAGGATTATCGATAATGTTGTGGCCAGTATTTCGACACAATTCATGTCATCATTTTCGGCTGTAATATATAGAAAAGGGAGTAAGTTATAATGGTTATGATTAAGTAAAAGTTAATTTTTATTTGTATTGTAATTTCAGATTAAATTAGAGCATACAGCAGACCTTCACTGTCTCTTCTAATTTGTCTGAAGCATTTAAAATTTACAAATTCAAGTCTAATGGGAGGTTCTGTAATACGTTCGTGCATGAACCCACAATGAAAATGTGAAAAAAGTCTATCGTGATGCAAATAATGGCAACCAAATGAATCAAGAAAGAACTTTTCAACCATAGAAACGGAATGAATTGTTATTTATTTTATAGATATAATCCAATGTTTTGAAAAGGATACAAGTAAAAAATGTATGGTCAAACTTTTTCATGAGGTGGAAATTAAATATATTTATATGGGATAAATTACGGCAAGGCGAAAACGAAATATTAAACCGCAGTCATACTAGAAAATGACGAAATATTGAAAATGACCTGTGAAGCTGTTGTTTACCCATCAATATCCCGGTTTGTCCATTCCATCAAAATACACATAAAGAGGCCTAATCTCTTTGGGACCTACTCCGATACTCCGACCAATATTAAGTTTGAAAACATAAAATACTCAACTTAACGGTCGTTTACATTAAACCGGATTTGGTTAACCCAGTGGGTTTAAATTTTCAATTCCTTTGAATATATGCCAAATAAATCCTCATAAATTTGGTTAACCCGGTAGAAAGTTCTAATGTAAATGCCGTATTACCCACCTGCTTGACGAAAACACTAACATACATAAGAAAACACTTCTTGTCCCGATAATAGTAAAGAAGCACAATGGCAATGAATTCCCCATGGTACGATCAGGAGTGTCGTAATGCTACTGATGTGAAAAACGCAGCGTATAGAAAAATGAAGAAAGAACAAGAAAAACATGAGCGTGAACAAATCGAGATGTACAGGAGTCTGAACGAAGTCAAGAAATTTTACCAACAAGTAAAACACCAAACCGATAGCTTTGACGCGTTTGAGAGAAAAATTCTCCGGAAGATCTATGGGCCGATCGCCGTCGAATGAACCTATACCTTCTATTCTCGGACATCGACATAGTCAGTTGGATCGAGCTGCAGCGAGAACGTTGGCTAGGCCATCTTTTGGGAACGGATGAAGATGCCGCAGCTCAAAAGGCATATAAAAGTGAGTCAAGTGATGATTCATGGAGAAGGGAAAGGCCACGAATCAGATGGAAAGATCAAGTAGAAGACAACATCTCGGAAAATGGTCCTTCAAATTTGATGAGACGCGCCTGGAAATCTTTTTTTTAGCTCGGCTTATGGAACAACCGTTCTGTCATAAGCCAGCGAAGTAAGTATGTAGGTTGGAAGATTTCCGAAAACCCAAAAAGTGGGTCAGCTCAAAAGGCATATAAAAGTGAGTCAAGTGATGATTCATGGAGAAGGGAAGGGCCACGAATCAGATGGAAAGATCAAGTAGAAGACAACATCTCGGAAAATGGTCCTTCAAATTTGATGAGACGCGCCTGGAAATCTTTTTTTAGCTCGGCTTATGGAACAACCGTTCTGTCATAAGCCAGCTAAGTAAGTATGTAGTATTATATTTTTTGGTTGGAAGATTTCCGAAAACCCAAAAATTGGGTCATTATTAATAATTTTTGGTAGGAAGATTTGTAACCTTGCGAGAACCTAAAATATCAAATTGGAGTCTAATCGGTTGAAAAATGTTTCTGAACTCTCTAAATTATTGAAATTTGGGAAATATTATTATATAGGTCCTACTCCAAAAAGTGGATCATTATTGATAATTATTGGTAGGTAGTTTGGTTTGATAAAATCGAAATTGATGAGATAATTATATGGGATGGTTTCCCAAGATTATTAATATTGATAATTTTTGGACGGAAGATTTGCTACCCAATGAGAATGTAAAATACCATTTGGAATATGCTCAACATTTTGGAATATGCTCAACAATTGGTTTGTTCCAAAACCTGCAAGAATGTAAAATTTTTTACTACAATAACAATTTTTTCTTTATAATATCGAAGGAAATATTAAAAATTAGTAGATTATTGTAGTACGGGAACAAATCAAATAATTCAATACCATGTCAAGTAATTGATATGAATACCATTGATTTTACAGATAAGATAACTTTAGAGTTCAAAAAAATCTTTTCCAAGTATGTGACAATTTCTGATAAGAACCTGTGAAATTCTAAGAAGACGAATTTATCAATTTGTTATCAGATTATTGACCTATTAGGTTACATTTACACAGAACATGTTTTATGATGAATCATTTAATCGTTGTTTAAGCTGCCATTTCTTTGTATATATGTAAAACAAACTCAACTGTCATGTAATTTCGATTTGGATTAAAATGCAAAAAAAGGGAATGTGTTTAATTTGTATTAATTGTAGCTTTGGCGCCAACTGACACACTTTCCACATTTACTTATAAACAAAATTATTAACCTTAATTTCCTTTGCCATTAATTTTCCATTTTATTGTCTACGAGAACCAAAAAATGGAAAAATGAATACCCATAAATCGATTGGCCGACCACCAACATCCATAGACACTTTTCCATCAATCAGCATCATGCTGTTATGTTTTAACACACAAATTTCAAATGTTTTCTACACTTCACTAACATATAAAAAAAAGGAAAAACAACACTTTCATTTTTCTAGGGAAGAAAATAAACAAAACTTAGAGTAAAAATAAACAGTATGTGGAATTCCTGTCCATTATATTGGATTGGATTTATCCACAATATTTATATTATGTTGGAATCCTCTTGCAAAAAAAGAATTTAAATGTGGTTAAATGCAAATAGATTTTAGTTTTAGTTTAGCCGGCAGACAGACACCTGCTCATTTCAATCAAATTGTTTACTCTAAACAAGCAATAAATTTTCTTTTCCGATAAACAAATTCGGGTAATTGTCGAATTAATCTCGTAAAAATTGACACAATTAAATTGTGTGCCATCGTTCAGATGTCAATATGGATGGATCATCAAAGGTATTTATTAACTTAATTAATTTTATTGTTTATAAATCATTTAAAGATCAGTAGATTATTTTTTAATAGGGAACGCCTATAAAAAATAGATTGTTTATAAAAAATATTAATACAGTTTTAGTCAGAGTATATAACAATTGGTCAGAGGATTTTTATAGACCAAACCGATTTTGCGAATAAAACACTCATGATATAGAAAATGGTTTGGTACTGTAATATGTGGGAGCCCCCAGGACCGCCCCCCTGCGTACGTCCATGGTGGGAGCTATATCGAAATCTGAACCGATTTTTTCCGAAACTTACCACACATCATTTTAGACTTAATTCAGTACGCTATGTAAAATTTCGTGTAAATCGAAGGATATATAGGGACTTTGGTGCACTATTTACCTTAAATCGCCATTCACGTCTCAATTTGATACGTTGTGCAAAATTTCGTGTTAATCGGACACATATTAGGAGTTTGATGTACTATTTAGGTAAAATCGGACAAATATATAAGAATATGTGGGAGCTATATCGAAAACTGAACCGATTTTTCCGAAACATACCACACATCATTCTAGACTTAATTCAGTACGCTATGTCAAATTTTGTGCAAATCGAAGGATATATAGAGACTTTGGTGCACTATTTACCTAAAATCGGACGAAAATATATATGGGAGCTATATCTAAATCTGAACCGATTTTCACGAAACTTAACACACATCACTCTAGACTTAATTTAGTACGCTATGTCAAATTTCTTGCAAATCGAAGGATATATAGGGACTTTGGAGCACTATTTACCTAAAATATATATGGAATCGTGTAGAATTGAGGTATGGAGGTAGTTTTGAAAATTCGTAATTATGTGTACTAAATTTACAATTTAGTGAAAAGATAGAGATGGAGAGCTTAACAATTATGGGATTTAGGTAATATTGGAAATTCGTAAATTTGATGAATGGGTAGAACTAGAATCCTGAAAATTGCAACTATGATAACTGTCGGAATGTAGGATTAAGGTAGTTTAGGAAATTCTTAATTATGAAAACAAAAAGTACTAAATGGTACCACATATTTTACAATTTCTTTTGTGTAAATAGATAGGGCTTAAATCTTGAAATTATAGTAGAAATTATAGTACACCAAATTGTACAGTATTCACGATTTCCATATAAAATATTATTTCTTTGTTTTGTATTCCCTTTCCGCATACGAAGTAACTGGCACTTCGCTAGTGAGGGTATATACACTTTGCTGGTGGGAAATATAACTCTCAAAGGGAGTAACCTATTTTATTCAAACTTTGTACAACCTAATATTTTTACCAATCCTGTATATTGTTGGAAGTTGGGACTTATCGGCACATTCCTTCTAGTACTGCCCCCACAAATGTCAATATTTTCAATTTTTAAAAATCCAATATTAAGGAAATGGAATGTCCGATTTGACCCAAACTTTGCAAACCTAGATCATGTCCGAAGATTTACTCCTTTTGGTAACACCCCACAAACATTGAAACACCTTTTATCAACCCAATTATCTCAAATCAGGACGATGTAGTCGAATTTGCGTGTTATAACAGATGAATTCTTTCCTTCTCTGTTTCTCAACTTTTATGAAACTAAAAAATAAAATTTGGATTTAAGGTTTAATTCATCAATCCTTGAAAGTAAAAAATCGGATTGTAAAATATAAAAAACAAAGTTGATAAACAAGTTTACTAGCCAAGTGACTTTAAATATACATATTTTCGCCGAAATACCTACAATGTTCACTAAAATTATTTTCGATTTGCACACATGTATATACATGTTTGTTTTTAATAGTATTTTGTAACTTATAATTAAAAGAACCAAAACTACTCGAATTGTTTTGTTGTTGTTGTTGTTATTTCAATTTATCGTGCATTTTAATCGATTTTATGATTTCATATGGCTGTGAATTTGTTCGTAAAACGGCTACAAATAATGTTTTTATTATTTTCATGTGCAA